ATAGCTCATCTGGCGTTGAGAAAACTCCCAAAAAGCCGGGTTCTATGAGTACACGGTTGAGTTTCACTCCAAAGCGTGGGTCTGCGTCATCCACTACATATACAACTACTCCGACGAGTTCGCGTGATTCCGCATCCATGTCAACAGCCACCAGTGTGACTTCAGTATCCGGCCCCTCGGCTTCTGGTCGTCATTCGACTGGTGCAGGGAAGGGAAGGCGGAACAGCGCGGGTAGTGATATTTCTAGCGCATACTCAGGTGGTGATGTGGCAGCGTTTAAGGACCGTCAACCTTCCTTCGCCGCCAGCGGCGAAGCTTTGGAAGAAGATCGGGTGCCTCCCGTCCCACCGTTACCCAAGGACTTATCTACTTATCGTTCCCCTCCTCAATCCTTGCATGGGATTGCATTTCCCCCTTCTGGTGCCGATGAGAGTGACATTGACCGCACTATGTCATTAGAGGTTCCCCCTGGTTCTTCGAAGCCATTGCCGCATTCGCACGCCCAATACTTGCAATCGTCTGCGAATTACGGAAGCCACTCCGCTCCCGAGTCTGCTCCTTCAATCACCAAGACGCCCTCGAAGAAATGGAGTTTCTCCAATGCACTCAATATCAAACTCACTCCATCAATGTCGTCGATGAAGGGGAAAGAGTCGACCAAATCTTCGAGTTTCCCTCTCAGTCCTCGATCGGTGCAGACGTTCGGGCAACAGTTGCGGAAGTCAGGATCTAGGGAGCAAGCGCTTTCTCCTCCCGTCGCTCCTGGTACTTCTTGGTCTCCTGGTCACCCAGATGCGATGGCATCTGCTGCATCCCTCGCATCTATGTCGTCTGTTGGATCTACCCGCACTCCGAAGTCTCCCGCTGTCTTATCTGGCAAGGCTCCTAGCCGCGCTGGAACGGCTTCGAGTGCCAGCCATCACACGACGTCCGCCTTATCCGCTGCTCATAATGCCCCGCTCAGCCCCTCGTCAATGCGGCGTCATCAATCCAAACGTCTTACGCCATCATCCATACCATTCTTCCGTCGCTCATCCTCTCAGAGCATGCAAATGCCCCCTTCAAACCCAGTTATCACATCAGTATCACCGACACTATCATCATCAGGCACTGGTGCCTCTGCAGCCCATCACGCTAAGGCAAGCCGCTCTCCGAACAAAGAATCAAGTCGTACCGTTCCGACTACTCCCGCCTCTTCACAGAAGAAATCATCCGTGCTTAGTCTTGGCCTGCCTTCATTGTTGAAATCTAGTTCACGGAGAAGTTTGCATGGGGACAAGAGTGACACTGGCACATTCAAGGAAAGCGCGAGGTCTAAGGATTCAGAGAAGGAAAAGTCAAAGCAAGACCAGAAGGATCGTAGTGAAAGCAGGATATCTTTGTTGATGGGACGTAAGAGAGGCAAGGTGTGTGCTTTCCCACTATTTATATTCGGGATGAATCTGACAATACTGTGGGCCTACCAGACCCTATCGTCCACAGATCCAAAAAAGAGTGCTTCTGCTATTGCTTTACCACCCATGCAGATGTCCGCATTACCTGCCACCACTGCTCAGCGTGTTGCAAATTTAAAGAATAGTTCCTCAACGTCTACCCCTGCATCTACCATTACCCGGACGCCATCTATATCGCGTGTGACCTCGCAGACTGTAAGCTCAATGCAAAAGCAGTCAGATGCCTCGCTGCGGAGTCGAAACCAACCGTTACCTACAATCGCTGGGTCGCCATCAGTTGGAACCACTGGGTACAGCGTGACAAAGGAGGCGAAGGATTACCCGCCGTCAGTGCTACTGAACTCGATAGGTGGTATGTCAAAGGAAACACCAACCAAGATTCCTCGCATTTCGAGCCGCACCTCAGCTGCAGGATCTCCAGGACTTGGAGGTACAACTGTAGCCAGTCGTCGCATTAGCCTTAATGTCACTGCGCCTTCGACGGACCCTTCACCCACGCCTGCCGATCCTACAATGAATGAGTTTGGTGTTCTGGAGAACGGTGACGCACAAGTTGCAAAAGCGTCGGGCGAAACGACAACGACAAGGCGGCTCTCTATCCGAGCTTCTCCGTCGATCAATTCCCGAGTTCCAAGGCAGGTCTCTGGGCCTCCATCCGCTGGCGGCATCCCTCGAAAGTCCAATCGTGATTCGGTCTCCTTCAGCACTCTACGTAAGGCGTCCACGGGCTCTGTGGCCTCCACTACCTCAATGGCTCCTCCCAGCGAAACAACACACTCGCATAGATTTTCTGCTTTGTCTCCGTCAAAAGGTTTGAAACTGCTTAGTCCTAAGATTTCTCTGTCTACACGTTCTTCGAACAACAATGGTTCAACGGCTAACGTACACCGGGCTCAAGCAGGGACTCCTGCCTCGAGTCGTCAGTCGCTATCGACTCCTTCTCCAGTCCCTAGCACTGTTGATGAAGAGGAACTCCTTGGCGATGAAGAGATGATGCAATACATCAGACGGCAGCAGACTAAGAAGATGGCACATGGCGCATCGCAGGCTGAATTGGACGATCTACTTAAGTTTCCAGAACCAATAGCACCAAGCGCTGGATTGACGCCTCAGGGTCAGTTGCTCTCTACTCCGAGAATCTCAATCATTGATTTTGCACGCAGAGGTGTTGAATTCTTCTCAGGCTCAGTTCCTGTCTGATTACGAGAAAGAAGAGATTCTCAACTATCCCCAGGTTTACTGTATAGGTTCTGGAAGCCCGAAGAAGAAGGCTCATCCTGAGATTGTTGTCAACAATTTCGGCTACGATGATGAACGTGGAGATTACCAGGTAGTCAACGGCGATCATCTCGCTTTCCGCTACGAAATCATGGATACCTTGGGCAAGGGCTCGTTCGGTCAAGTGCTGAGCTGTAGAGATCACCAGACAGGCGAATCTGTTGCGATTAAGATCATTCGCAATAAAAAGCGCTTCCATCATCAAGCACTGGTGGAGATCAAGATCCTAGACAATCTTCGTAAATGGGTATGCATCCATACTTACATCACTCTCGAAAGATGAATTAACGCGTCTTTCAGGATCACGAAGAGAAGCACCATGTCATCAAGATGACTGAGCACTTCTACTTCCGCAATCACCTCTGCATTGCCATGGAACTACTTAGCATCAATTTGTACGAACTGATCAAAGCAAACGGTTTTGTTGGATTCACAACGGCATTGATACGACGCTTCACAAGCCAGATGATATTGTCTCTGTGCTTGATGCGGCATCATCGCATAGTGCATTGCGATCTGAAGCCAGAGGTTCGTTGTTCTCGCATTGCATGCACTTTGTCTTATGACTCTGTTTAGAATGTCTTATTGCGACACCCTGCGAAGAGCGCTATCAAGGTCATAGACTTCGGCAGTAGCTGCTTAGAGCACGAGAAGAGTAAGTCCATTTTCACCACGGTCCCTGAGATTTTACTGAGCCACGCGTAGTCTATACTTATATTCAGAGTCGTTTCTATCGGTCGCCTGAAGTTATCCTGGGCATGAACTATCACATGGCTATCGACATGTGGAGTTTGGGTTGCATCCTCGCCGAGCTCTATACAGGATTCCCTATCTTCCCTGGCGAAAACGAGCAGGAGCAATTGTCTTGTATCATGGAGGTCTTGGGGCCCCCAGATAAGGACTTCATCAATCGTAGCTCGCGAAAGCGACTCTTCTTCGGTAAGATGACACATTGGCGACCTTCTATCACCTTCCTGACCCTTTCTAAGACAACAATGGCGCACCCCGACCCGTGGTGAACTCTAAAGGTCGTCGTAGACGACCAGGCACAAAAACACTTGCTCAAGTTCTACGATGTCAAGACGATGACTTTGTCGACTTCATTGCGCGGTGCCTTGTATGGGATCCCGAGCGAAGGATGAAACCTCAAGCAGCGCTGCAACATAACTTCCTCCGTGCAGGACGTCGAAGCAAGATCACTACCCCTTCGCCAGCCAATGCCAAGACTCTGCTTTCTTCATCTAGAACCAAGGTCACTGAGACACCCAAAAAGTCGCAGATTAGTGCTCCCACTCCGTTGACCGCCAGGACTTCACGAACGACCACGAATGGAGTACCCTCTACTCCAAACACGACTACTGTAGGATCATCATCTCGAACGTACCGGTCCGGCCAGTCCCACGGCCTTTCCTCCCAATATTCCAGTCGGACACTCAGTGGGTTCGCAGTGAGTCGTCAATCCTCATCGGAAATGCCGTTCGAACAAGAGCTTATGAGCTGGCTGCAGACAACAGCTTCTTTGAAATGAGCGACGATGCACACTTGACGCAAACACTTTTTTCGTTGTGCTTTCTAGTACTTACTCCTCGAGGAATTTTGCTAGTTGCTAGAGTCCTACCTACAACAAGCTGGCCTTCCTTGTTCATACCCGGTCTGCTGTATTTTACCCCTACTTGTCATTTGCATGTTATCCCATAGGTTTTCTGCATATCATCGTAATGCTCGCATCACTCAATATAGTCTCCTACCAGTCCTGTGGTTTACACGCCAATGACGTGTCCTTCAGGGAGTGATGAAAATAGGTCAGTCTAGCTTGATCAGACTTTTACATATAAAAGTGATTCCAGGTGTAAGCTACTACTGCATAGTCAGCACGTAGACTGGTCTCCAGCATGTTGTCGTGACACTAGCTTGTCCTCATTCTAGCTTGCTTGCTCGATCTCTGGGCTGCGTGCCCCTCGGCCTAGTTTACCGGATGGACGTGACCTCGACCATGACAACTTGCCCAATACTGCTCATGCATATGTGAAAGAGAGATGCAGTGAGACCGGTATATACATGTGTACAGCGAACAAACGTGCAGTGATATAGCCTGGTTGTCTGACATGCTTTCTAATTGTAGATAGATAACACCAGTACTTACAATGTTGCTGCGTACAGAGCTTTGTAGAACACGACATAAATATATACTTCGAGTTCAACTCACATAGTCATACCTATACAATGGCTTGAATGATCAGCGAAATATCATTCATATGTGCCATGGTCTTAATCTTGCATGGCCCATTGCGGCAGCCACTCCTCCCAATCCTCCCAGTCGACGTCCACCGATTCATGTTCATGTCCACGGTGTTTATGGTCTTCTTTATGATGGCCACGGGGGTCGAGCAGGTTCGTGATGACATGCAAAGCGCCATTCCGAGCGGGGATGTCATACGGTCCAACATCGTGACCGTTGACCACAAACCTGGTGAAGTAACGGGCAGGACCAGGAAGAGGAATCTTGGCTTTGTAGCGGGCAACCTGAACATTCAAGGAATGGTTCTCCAGCAGGGTGGGAAGGGTGAGATTGTAGGCATATAAAGGGTTGCCGGGAGAATCTACGAAGACGCCAGCTTCCCGGTCATCAATCAAGGCAGTATAAGATGTAGCATTGTGCACGTAGTCTATGGACAAACGAAGTTAGATTCACGACAAGATAACTGTTAAGAATGCTCGCCTGTGTGCAGCACGAGTTGAGGCACAACATGATACTCCAGAAGTTTCCTGAGCGCTCTAGCGCCAAAGGGCGAAAATAAGAAAAGTCTTAATTTTTTTGGAAGACGCTGGAATGCTCCTGATGTGGGGGCAAAGAAAGTGGCAAGTTCTGCGCCGACGAATGATATATGACAATCTTTGTCGGGAATCCGCCAATAATCGACTGCGCCAATTAAGCCCACGTGCTGAATAGCAGACGTCTGTACAATGTAAAGTATAAGAGAAGCAAATAAAAAGGAACAAGATTACAAACTTACCACGTATGAGAAGACTTCGGGAAAAGCAAACATCTCATTGAACAAGGAGGGGGGAGGCAAGAGTGGGATGTTGATACTGTGGATAACACCTGATCAATCGTAAGCATGTGCCCATTATTCAGTATCAAATCGCTCACCATTGCTAGCCTCAGTATCACGCTTTATGACATCTACCACGGTATTAATCCTGAGTCGAGGGGAACAATCGTGCTCTGAACACTCAAGCGCAATGGTTGGTAGTCCATGCTCCCATCATTCAATGTCAAATTCGTTGCATATGTAGAGTTTTGAACGAGTGCAGTAGAATCCAACTTCTTAGGCAAGATGTGATACGCGAGGATAGCGCGAATGATGCGGCAAGTGCCTCCTTACGGTGGTCCTTGTCACGAGACTCGGGGATGTTATCAAGTTCTTCAACCTGAAGGACGAGGTGGCCAAGGTCATAGGTGATATCAGGCTCATCCCCACGCTTAGGTGCGAGAGATGCGAAATCGAGCTGATGATTGTCGTCATCCCCGTGCGAGGGCTGACGGTGTGGAATACCTGTATTTGGAACCGCAAAAAAAGTGATGCTAGAGAGGAATAGCGTCGAGTAGGCGAGGAGCGCTGGCATAGGGGTACTTACCTGGCTGCAGGGTCGTCCAAAAGGTCGGTGACCTCGTCGCTCAAGTTGATGGCTTTGACTAAACGCGAGTACCTGCTGCGCTGTGAGCATGCGTCAGACCTGATACCATTGAACGAGTGACCTTTCGTCGTCTTTCAAAACCTGGTAAATTGTCCTATCCTCCGAAAGGGGAGCAAATATGCCCCAGCAGCGAACTAGCCCCTCGACGGGAAATTGCGGAAGCCAGGAAAGCGTAGGAAGAGCATACGCGCCTCCAACACAGAATATGGGCACAAGGTTATGAATTCTCATATTAGTGCGCGTACGTATCGGTGGAATCGATAATGGTGGAGGGCGAAATGCAATAAGAGGGGTAAGGCTCTTATATAACCCCTAATATTAATGCTCTCCGCAGCACAGGCCCTGGCATCAACTGCGTGTGACGACATGGGCGTCATTTGTAATAAACGTTATTGCACAGCATCAGACCTGATACAGGGGGACAGTGCTCTCGCAGAAGTTTCTACGTCGAGGTCAGCATGTACGCACTGCAGAGTCCAGAGTGTATCATAACTGGTATTATGTTATGGGCTACAAAGTGTTATGACAACGTCCGACCGCGAGCATGTTCGATCTACTCTACCATCTGGCGGAATTTGTCCTGGATTTCCGTGTGCAGCGCGTCCAGCTTCTGCATGATGGGTTCCTGTCCTTGCGAAGGAGACTGACAGACACACTCGGTCAGGCGAAAATGATCACAAGAGAATCACAGATACGTACCTCAAATTTCATTTGTGAGAGTTTAAACATGAGATCACTCGCAGTATCCTTAATTCTCGCGAACGTCAGATCGCCTTGCGCCACCGCTCTCAGCGCTGAATCGTGGAACGCGACAAAATTCTTCAACATTCCCGCAGTCTTGTAGAATGGACAGTAGCGGTCGTACTCGCTCATGCCATTCTGCTGCAGGAAGTCATCCTTGAGCATCCGCGCGACCTCCAGCGTAATTTTGTCCGATTCTCCTAGTGCGCTTTTCCCAACAAGTTGCACGATCTCAGCGAGATCCTCCTCCTTCTGCAGAATCTCCTTCGTTTTCATGCGTAAAGATACGAAGCCTGGTGAGTTGGACTCATAGTAAGGCTCAAGCACTTTTGTGTACTTGGAGTACGACAAGTTCCAGTTAACAGACGGGAAATGCTTGCGCTGCGCGAGCTTCTTGTCGAGGCCCCAAAAGACCTGCACGATACTAAGTGTAGAAGATGTGACGGGGTCCGAGAAGTCACCACCCGGTGGTGACACACTAAAATGTAATCAGGATAATGTCCACACAGAAGTAATTCCTACTTACGCCCCAACAATCGACACTGTTCCTTGCCTCGCTGGGCTACCCAGACACTTCACTTTCCCGGCACGCTCATAAAAGCTCGCCAGTTTGGTCGACAGATAGGCAGGATATCCTGAATCGGCCGGCATCTCTGCCAGACGACCCGAAATTTCACGTAGCGCCTCAGCCCAGCGTGATGTTGAATCTGCCATCATTGCGACGTTTGAACCCTGATCCCGGAAGTATTCTGAGAGTGTGATGCCGGTATAAATCGAGGCCTCGCGAGCTGCAACTGGCATATTGGAAGTGTTAGCAACGAGTGTGGTACGCTTCATAATGGGTTCTTGGCGAGAGGCAATCTCCATTGTAAGCTCAGGGAACTAAGGGATGTCAGTGTGTGCTTATATTGGATAGGCAGTGATATTACCTCCATCAACACTTCAGCCATCTAAAAATGGTATTCGAGGAATGAAGCAATTTGAAACATCTTGAATAACGCACCTCATTTCCTCGCTCACCACATCCGACATAGATGATGATATCGCTATTCGAGAACTTGGAGAGCGCTTGCGAGATGACGGTCTTTCCACAACCAAAAGCACCGGGGATGGCAGTGGTGCCACCTTGCACGCATCTATACACCTGTCAGCGGTGAACCATTGATAGTGGAATACACACACGGAAAAAGTGCATCCAGGATGCGCTGACCAGTCAACAAGGGAAAATCGGCGGTTTGTTTCTCGGCAACGGGTCGAGGGGCACGGACTGGCCACAGCTGCATCATGGAGTGCTTTGTTGTCCGACCCTCAAACTCGGTCTCCAACACGATGTCCTAATGAAGACAATCAGGTACAGAGATTATGGATGTAATTGTGCTGCGAACGCACATCGACTGTATAGCTGCCCTTTTCTGCGATGCGGGTGATGGTACCGAGAGCACGGGGAGGAAGCATGATCTTATGGTTGTCGACGAGCGAGTTTTCGTAGACACCGCCAAAGATGTCACCTCCTGATATGTGATCGCCGACCTTATACATATCAATCAGTACATTACTAATGTTCGATCAGTGTCGAGTCACCTTGTATGCGGCAGGAGTGAAGTCCCAGGATATCGAGCGATCCAGTGCCTCTGTGTTGATACCACGAGGTATGTAGATTGATTTGGACAGTTCTTGGATGGACTGTATCCCATTAAATAAGTTATCTACGCGGCTGAAATGAACGCTTACTCGGAGTGGTCTCTGAATACCATCGACAATATTACCCATCAGACCTGTGGAGAGCTGAGAAAGCACAATGCATGGTACATCATTTGAGTAACGCACCTGGACCCAACTCAACACTGAGGGGTTTACCTGTCCTTAGGACAGGGTCACCGACGGTCACGCCAGACGTCTCCTCGTACACCTGAATCGTTACTTTATCTGCCTCTATTCGAATGACCTCTACGCCTAATGAGTCTCGCTTCGTTCCAGTACCAAGGCTGCGCACCTCCGACAAGCTCGTCGTGGCCGACGCGAACAAGCTCGTACATAGCAGCTCCAATCATGTTCTCTGCAATGACAACAGGCCCTGAAACGCCATACACATGACCAAAACGAGATTCATGGTCTTCATCTTGGATTTTTGGGAGGTCGCGCTTTGCGTTCTGGAGAGCACCTGCCATCGTACACAACTACAAGCTGTGGGTCGAGCTTACCGGGGCAGCATGCCCAAAGCGGGGTATGAATATCCTCGGTGGTTGCCGCGGCGCGTTACCCAGTGCAGTGACGCGTCCCATAGCATAAGCAGTCTGTACTTGCTCGCCGTTCTCTCCGTCAGGAACACTTCTTTCACCATCCGACACGATGCCTCCAAAAGCGTAAGCCTATTCAGCACGCCTTTTCTGTTTCATGCTAACGATATTTATGTAGTGATTGGGAGAAATGTATGTACAGCTCGACAAGTCCATTGTGCGTCACTGATTTCCTGCAGACGAGAAGAAGGCCGATGACAAGGAGGAGAAGATTCAAGGTGTGTCAACTGTATTCCCTGCTTATGTTCTGTTCTAACACCTCTTAGCTCTTACAACTAGCGATATCCAGATCCTCAAAACCTATGTAAGTACAATATCCGTATGCTTTGTCCACCTACCAACGCATTCTCTGCAGGGTCAAGGCGCATACGCCGCAAAGTTGAAGAAGACAGAACACGACATCAAGGAAGTGCAGAAGCGGATAGATGAGAAGCTTGGTGCGCACAACTCTGCTCGCGTCGTTCATGAACTCATTTCAGTGCAGGCGTGAAGGAGTCTGACACAGGGCTTGCTCCGCCAAATCTCTGGGATCTTCCAGTTGACCGACAACGCATGGGAGCTCATCCATTGCAGGTTGCGCGGTGTACTAAAATCATTCCTGTTGATCCCAAGAAAGCCGAGGCCGCACGCGCCGTCAACCCTGTCGGTGCCGCTCAAGGCCAGAAGGGGGCCGACGAGCAGGACAAATATGTCATTAACATCAAACAAATAGCTAAATTTGTTGTTGGTCTCGGGGATCGAGTCGCCCCGACAGATATCGAAGAGGGTATGCGTGTGGGGTGTGCAGAATTATTTGTACAAAACGCTGGTGCACTAACATTTCAACAGTGTGGACCGGAATAAATACCAAATCCAAATCCCACTGCCACCCAAGATTGATGCTTCGGTGACGATGATGCAGGTTGAGGAGAAGCCCGACGTAACGTACTCGGACGTTGGTGGATGCAAAGAGCAAATTGAGAAGCTGCGTGAAGTCGTTGAGACGCCGCTACTATCAGTGAGTTGTTCTTACGCTCAGTCATGCTGAATCACTGACACTGTCCAAGCCCGAGCGCTTCGTCAAGCTCGGTATCGATCCACCAAAGGGAGTCCTTCTCTTTGGGCCACCAGGAACCGGCAAAACTCTTTGTGCACGCGCAGTCGCCAATCGCACAGATGCCACCTTCATCCGCGTCATTGGCTCAGAACTTGTGCAAAAGTATGTCGGCGAGGGTGCACGAATGGTTCGCGAGTTGTTTGAGATGGCCCGTTCAAAGAAAGCTTGTATTATTTTCTTTGACGAAGTCGATGCTATCGGTGGGGCGCGATTTGATGATGGCGCTGGTGGTGACAATGAGGTGCAGCGCACAATGCTGGAGCTGATTAACCAGCTGGATGGATTTGACCCCCGAGGGAATATCAAAGTGCTCATGGCCACAAATCGACCAGATACTCTTGACCCCGCATTATTACGTCCCGGTCGACTTGATCGGCGGGTGGAGTTTTCACTGCCTGATAATGAAGGGAGGGCTCATATTCTCAAGATTCATGCTCGAAGGTCAGAGACTACAGGTCCACACTTATCAGCTAGCTGATAAATTTCTTCAGTATGAGCGTCGAACGCGATATCCGATTCGACCTGATCGCTCGATTATGTCCCAATACGACGGGTGCTGAACTTCGCTCAGTTGCAACTGAGGTGAGAATTGACCATCTTCAGCACTAAACACATTATAATTGTATCCTATCTAGGCTGGCATGTTTGCAATTCGTGCCCGGCGGAAGGTCGCTACGGAGCGCGACTTCCTCGATGCTGTAGAGAAGGTCGTGCGACAAGGGACGAAGTTCTCGTCAACGTAAGCTATTGTTCATATTTTGCCTGAAGAAATCTCATCATATTTTGCTACTGCAGACCTCTATATCAAGTGTACAACTAGATTATTTGACTTTAAACTTGCATGTATCATTCTCCCAAATCACGCATTTTCATGGACCGCTTGAGCATTATCTTGTGGACAAGGACTGCAGCACTGAGCACACTCGAGTCTCGACCACTTTCGTATTAACTCAGACTATGGCAATTTCCTAACAAAGCTTTTACCGTGATCTCCGTGTCGAATGGGCGCGAGGTTCCATACAGCTCAATGTTCATGTGGGCCTGCGCTCGACTGTTCTTTGATGCCCTTGACCCTTTTACGCAGATTTATGAACTCCTTGTGTGCATTAAATATTCATGACCAAGTATCATGCTGCATGACGAGGAGGACACTATTTTGAATTGTCTGGTACATATATAACGTCTACCATGCATCTTGTGCTGGTTTATTATGATATATGGATGCCATAATTCGGAGGTACTGATGTCGACATGCTTGTTAGCTTAGAACTGCACCGAATATTGTACTGTATATCAAGGAACTGCTACTACTCAGGGGAGACTCGAGAGCTTGACTCGGAACTAGTAGCGGCCTAGTTCCGTACAATCATGATGATGACGATCAACCTTCCAGTGCGCGCCCTCACAGTGCGCACCATCCAACGGCGGCGGTACCATGTTCGTCGTGCACCGTTACCACCGTCCGCTGAATCTGCTCGACTTCTCGACTCGTTCGCAGCACATCCGCCACTTCCTCTAACGCTTTCAACCCTCGTGTCCTTCGGAAACCCTTTAACACCTGCATCTGTGCTGCGCTCAGTAACGTACGTACTCTCGGAGATACCAAGACGTATGGCCCAGCGCGTCCGCGCCCTGGAGGGGTTGCCATTCATTGTCGGCACTAATCCATATGTTACACGAACTCTCAACGGTCACAGAGACAGCTTCAATTTACTCGCCACTTATCCTGAAGTGCGCACACTTGAGGACAATAAACATTTTGTCGATGAACTAGATATACTTGTGCAGAGACATAGAAACGATATACCAACCATGGCCAAGGGGTGCGCTGGTACTTGTGCTTTGAATGATCAACCTGACTTCAACAACTCTTAGATTTCAAGAGTGCTCGCGGTACATGTCCCCGACTCAAATATCCAACTTCCTCGATGGTGCTATCAGATCCCGCATCTCTGTACGCCTGATTGCTGAACAACATATCGCGCTCTCACACGCACTTGCTACGGATCCAGGGGCCGCAGAGACTGGAGTGCTCTTGCACAATGGTGTCATTGATCCAAAGTGCTCCCCCGCGGCCATGGTCCGCATGTGTGGCGCATTCGTCAGCGAATTATGCGAGGCTACCCTTGGCGCAAGCCCCAACATCACGATTGACGGGTGTCCAGAAGCCACATTCACGTAAGTTTAACATATCTATAGCAGAACCTATCAATATAATCCTCCTCCTTACTAGCTATGTCCCTGTGCACCTTGAATATATCCTTACCGAAATGCTCAAGAATGCGTTCCGCGCTACCGTAGAGCACCACCACAAGCTTCATGGCCTTGCTTCATCCCACCCCCTACCACCCGTCCAAATCACTATCTCACCCCCTACTTCATCCCATCCATTCCTATCAATTCGAATTCGCGACCAGGGTGGTGGCGTCTCAGCGTCCAACATGGCTCGTATATTCTCATATGCTTTCACTACCGCAGGGCATGCCGACGACCATAACGGAGACGGTGGGCCCTACGCCGCACAGCATATTGGCGGGAGCGCAGCCATCGGGAGTGGTGGTGCAGGGGAAGGCGGGAACCTTTTTGGCGAGATTACAGAGAAGGGTATCCAGGTGGGCCTTGGAACAATTGCAGGTTTAGGGTATGGGCTCCCTTTGAGTCGGTTGTATGCAAAGTGTGTTCGCCTTTTCTTTTCATCCGTGTGTAGTCTCATATCGACTTCTTAGATATTTCGGTGGTTCATTGGATGTATTTTCGCTTGACGGGTGGGGTGAGTTCGACCAAGTATCCTGCATCGTTGGGATTTGCTGATGATTTTGCAGGCAGTGATGTCTTTATCAAACTTAGATGTCTACTAGATGATGCAGGTGACGCCGAGATATAGATCCATGGACTTAATAATGTTTAGCTGTACTTCACGCCCTCAACATTTTGCTGTTACCCTCACAGCTGTATCTGAGCAGTTATATTACTTGTGTTTGCCCAATATCCTGCTGACAATAATTAATACATCATGATGGCTTAAATGTGATTGTTTAGAAGGAGGTCTGCGATCAATCACCCTCTCCCAAGTTTGAATTGGTAAGTCACTGGACTGTGATTTCTTTGTAGATAGTGGTATGAATATGAATCCATTCAGTCATCTGAAATAACAGTGCTAAACCAGTGCTTCGTCATCGCGAATTCACCATCGTCTTGTGTTACAGAATCAATTCGGCCAACAAATTTCCGCCCTTGCACTAGGAGGGGCAGCCAGTGAGCATCACCATCCCACATCATTTCATACGGGATCGGTGGCAGTATCGCGTCTGCATCAGACGTAGCGGGTGACTCAAATGAGAACCACTTCGGTTGCATTTCGTCTGACCTGGGGCCAGTCCTTGAATTCAACAAATACTGCCGTTGCGCAGCCAAGAAGGACCTACTCTGTAGGTGTTCCTGAGTATGAACGGGCGGAAAATATCTCGATCTGGAAAGCCCACCCAACGGCGTTTGTCACGAACAACAGTGATCCTGCGTGCTCGAGGGGCGCATCAATACCGGCTTCTTCCTGAATCACAAGTCAATATCTGGCACTTGTGTTATAGAAATGGATTTGAGAGACTTTAAGTTCGCGCATCGCAGCTTCAGCGAGCGTCTCTCCTGGTTCCACCTTGCCACCAAACCCATTGTACCTGTTATTGTGGGTTCCAAAATCACTCTCCGTAATTGTGACGAATATACGGAAGCTTGCTTACTTGTTGATGCCAAACCCACGTTTCTTCAACCCGAGGAGAATCTGGGAATATGAAGCGTTCTCCTCGGATGGCTGGACTGTGTAATGCTAGTACACACCTTATCGCCCTGGATAATGAACGCGTTGGTATAGAACCGCTTGTGGTCGAATGGCAGCCAGTCTGCCACTCCCCCTTGAACGTATTCTGCGAGGTTTCCTTCGAGCCCAGGAGGAAGTCCAGATGTCATTTTGGCCTATGGTTCTCTTGTGATATTTCACAAATTGTATATATCTGGAGAAAATCTGCGCGTTCGTCGAATCCGCATTAGTCAGACCTTCGGCACCGAGTATCGGTGGAACTACTCGATGTACTTAAAGTAACGTCTGATCAAGGTGTTGTTTATTTCCAGGGCTCTTGCCAAACAAACGCTTTTGATCTGTACTACATACAGCGGCATTCAAGCACGAATATTATTTTAGTTCAGACAGCCTGAAAGAAGCTGACGGAACACATCATAGCGCACCCCCGACCACCTTGCAATGTTAATTCATAATTGTATGGGCCAAAAATGCGTGTGCGCGCCTCATTGTCGACCCCAACTTCTCAATACATTCGGAAGCCACTGCATCCCCCGCATTTTATCCAAAAAGTTCTTCGTGGACAGTGAAATGAAGACATGATATCAAGGTTTAACGCTGGTACTCGACCTCCGGGCTGACCCCTTCGTTCACGGTCAATTATACACAGCATTGTCAAGAATGAGAACACGAGGAGATACATTGTCTATTTACAGAGACGATGCCAATATGCATAATTTGCCACTATAAACACAATATGTCATCGAAAAGCCAACCGAAGGGGTGTCCTCGTAGATAGGAAAGTCACAGTAGGACGTTCGAGTGTACGCAAGTTCAGCAGTTTATAATCGGTCGACCGAAACATGCATCTGGCATTGCTGCATGTACGTACAAGTACAGTTGCAATCGTCGAGAATGTATCCATGGGGCTCAAATTCATGACACAGTTCAGGTGCTCTTCGGAAGTGGGGTCTCTGCATACAGCACCTTCATATCCGCTAAAGGATAGCGATCCCCAACCACCCAATCAGCCTTCTCCGCAATGATACGCACTTCCTGGACTGATTCAGTACTTAATGACACATCGATAGCACCGAGGTTCTCCTCGAGATACTGTGCGAGTCAAAACCATGAATGCCCGAGGGTGATATTAGCTACTGACCTTGATCTTCTTTGTACCCGGAATGGGGATGACATCCTCACCTTGGGCAAGAAGCCATGCCAACGCGACTTGTCCTGCAGTTGCATTATATTGCTCGCCTACTTTCTTCAGGTTATCTGCCAGTTTCAATATGTTCGGGAAGTTCTCCTTCGAGTATCTAACCAAGTACAGTTCGAGTGAGCCCCCACTAGGCACTGACATGACACATACCTAGGAACCATCCTCCTGAAATCATCAGAATCGAAGTCATCTGGAGATTTCTTTTTATGTGGTGAGTGTCCGAATGAGTTTAACTAACTTGCTATACTTACATACTGTCCCGTAATCAAACCACGCCCAAGAGGCGAGTAGGCAATTATTTTGATTCCGAGTTCGCGAGCCGTGTTCAGAATGTTGAGCTTTGAGTCCTCGATGTCGAGGGTGAAAGGGGAATACTCCACTTGGACGGCAGAGATAGGGTGCACTTTCTGAGCACGGCGCAAGGTGTCCGCACTGCATTCTGACAGCCCAAGATACTTCACTTTCCCCTGTCTTCCCAGCGATGAGCATGTGCTAGGGTGTCAGGAACTGTCGAACGTTCGCTTACTTAACAAGTTCTGCCATGGCGCCGACAGTTTCCTAGCTGATTTTAGAAAACTTCAAACAGCCCACAAACTGAGACGTACTTCGATTGGCGTTTGTTGATCAGGTCTGCATGGTGATGATGATAAAGTAAGTTGAGTAACCTGTTTAACACGCTGGGCGCACCTGTGCAAGTAGTAAAGCTCGACCTTGTCAACACCAAGCAACCTTTGTGATTTTGCAAATGACTCGTGAACATTTTTTGGAGATCCGTCAACCCCTCTACTGTCAGATCCACTGATGACGATACCGAATTTTGTAGAAAGAAAAATTTTGCTCCGCTTTTCGGGGTTCAGCTTAAACCTACGCTCCTGGTTTGTGAGGGGCTATGTAATACTGTTACAGTGCAGTACGACGTACCATTTGCCAATGAGCTCTTCGCTGTCTCCATAGATATTGGCAGTGTCCCAGAAAGTGCAGCCGAGCTCATACGCTTTATCCAGAACCTGTTGAAAGGGGCAGTCATGAATTAATGTGGCGTACAGCAGGGTGCTCGCGCTTCACCTTGAAGCGCTCCTCATCTGAATCAGTCTGACCGTAAAATGCTCCTATGCCCATGGCACCAAAGCCAATGGTAGAGACATCGTCGGTGCCAATTTTGCGTGTGGGATTCTTGGCCATAATGTTAGATATAGCTACTAAGGTGGCGGATACTGGAACTCACGAGAAGAAAGAAATGGCTTTATATCCCCCAGTCTCTTGGCTTAGTTATTCAACGGGTGACTAAGAGAGACTCGGACACACGCTGGATAGAGCTGACGCAATTGATATGTATGTCATGCTCGTGCCGCGGCCGTGACGTGGCATTGAAGCGGGACGCGGCACAACCGATAACAAAAAATCTGCGCATAAATTGGCGCCGAATTGCGTCGTCATTATTCAGACATTCGGCACCCAGTATGGGCTCCACGGTGGAACTATGTTGACGACAGGCCGCTTGTTTATTTCCAAGGTTCTTGCTGAGCGCTGAACAACAGGCTGGATCTGTATGTACATATTTGGTACATATACAATACAAGCGATGACCTTCGGTCGTTGTGTTCTATTTTATATTTGCCATATCTGTCTCTGTCCTCATTCACTCCTGAACATAAGCACACGTATTCTGACGGTTTTTGACACGGGACAGTGGGGTATATAGTTGACCACGCGCAAAAGGATCAGTTCTGAGATCTCGAATTGTGCGAGAGAGCGTAAGGCCTTGACATCCATTGAAAGTTGTCACATAAGCCAGTCTTGAAGGGAACTGCTTGCGATTCACTATCCAGCTTGAGCAATAGGGATGCCAGAAGGAAAATGTGATACGTGGGATACAGTGGTTCTCGAGGTTGTGGAACAGTCGGACTTCAACGAATTGACGATGTGGGGCAGTTATTCATACACGTGCAATCCTCACCAATCCTTTTTTCCACCGAGAGGTTGTGTTGTATGGTGCATATATATTAAAGCTAGATACAATGTCAGTCCTCAGTCGTGATGGAACAGACTAAGATTATAGTATACCTAGATACAACGTCAGTCTAGCGAGAGCGCTCGTCAGTATCTAGGTAGGACTCGAACCAACAAGAGAGCTCACCCTCAGTCGGTTCCATCACGACTGAGGGTGAGCTCTCTTGTTGGTTCGAGTCCTACCTAGATACTGACGAGCACTCTCGCTAGACTGACATTGTATCTAGCTTTAATAGGTCACATCAGGAAAAAACAAGGTGACTATATAGTACTATATAGCCAGGGTAGACCATATAGCCAAATAGCTATCCCCCCTCTATATAGCATGTGAGGCAACTATGTAGTACTACGTAGTACTATATAGTGCTATGTAGAACCAGGTAGCGCTACTATGTACTACCATAGTTCCCTTAAGTTCTACTACAGGCAGCTACATAGCACTACATAGTTCATGTAGCGCTACTACTGCCGGCTTCAAGCAGCAATATAGTCACACATATCACATATTAGTAGTAGTAGTAGTAGCACGCGGAATCGTGAAAACAATTGAATTTGAATGCCTAATAATGAACCAGTCAAGCTATTTTACGACTTGCTAGCCTCCGCATCATCCTGTTCCTCAAGTCGGTACTCTCGGATGGCATCTTCGAATGCCGCGTCACTGATCCGGGATGCAGACGACGAGATAGTGAGGGTGTCAACACCTGCATGGACACTTCAAAGCACGAAAGTAAGAATATCATTTTGAAAAAGAACACTGTTCAACGCACCGAGCCACGTCGTGCAGATTGACACGAATTTTGTCGAGGAGTTTGTAAGGCGCCGTCCGCTCGTTGAAGCGCTGCAAGGAGCAGAAATGTCCATGGTAGACAGTTCCATAAGTAGCCGACGTGAATTTGATATCTTCCTTCAGACCTTGTAACCATTCGTCGATACAACATTCGATCTACCAGTGATTCATCAGCGCCATCAAATTGAATATAGAATAAGAGACTCACAGTTGTAAGCACAAGAGCGATAACTTCGACGGGCATAGGATTAAAATATTTATGGTGGATGACGCCTTCGTCGTGTCGATTCGCGAACCACATGATGTTGATGCCCAGTTGCAGTAACTCCGTCTTGTAGATTCCCTTCTTCGACTTCCAATCCTATTAGTCCAAAGAGTTAGTACTTGAAATACCATGTAGATCATCAAAATATGTACCTTGAAAGCAAATACAGAACCGTCTTTCAAAGACTCTGCTAGATCCCTATTCTGTTGTATCACATCGTTGGAATTGCTCGACCGGAAACTGAAAAAAGATGCTGTCAGTGAACACATTTTTGTTTTGAGTTCCCCACGAACTTGTGATGTGCGGGTCAATAGCTTCGCAAAGTATGATATAGTAAATCAGTTGAAGAACACACGGAGATCAGATGACTCACCATTTTGACACCTGAAGGTGTCAATTTGACATTGATGCCTTTGATTTGACATGCCTCATGCCAGGCTTCTTTTGCCAACTGCGTCTCGACAGCAATGTTCTCGGGAAATGGCGCCTGGGAGACTATCAGACACCGGAAAATACAGGCTGCCGTCCCCAAAATCTCTTTGGACACATCATCGAAGTCGCTGACTTTCATGCGATGGCGTGAACCATCTGAATTTTTCTTGATCTTCGGCAGTACCATGCCATCGTCCAAAGTCTCCGAGTCGTCAAGTGGACGCTTGGACCCTCGAGCTATCGGCGACAGTTCTTCGGCGACATAGTCGTTGTCCTCGTCATCAATGTGGTCTTCAGGTCGGCGAGACTCATGGTCTGTTGACTCATCCGACTCGGAGTCATCAGATGGACTCAAAGTCGGAGCTGCTTGATAGTAGTAGAGGCGGATTAGTCTTAGTATACAATCAAAAGACTAGACACATACCTGTAGTAGTAGCCTTGCGCATGGCACTGGCGTTGCGCGACACTGGGGGTATTTTACCAGCACTGAATGTCAGTACCTTTGATTTGGACCGGGACAGCTTGGACACCATGTCGCAATCTGAGAACTAAATAAAAAATTTAATCAGTGATTATTCTGAGTTGCATCAAAGAAAACGGGTGAACGTACCATATTTTCTTCTGCCCTATCCATGTCGCTACGCAGCTCAGATGGCTCTTCCTCGAAGCCGTCGAGATCAGCATCGTAAGCAGCCCTCAGTGCTTTTTTCTTCTGTTTTTCTATCTTCTTTTCCTTGGTTTCTTGGCGATAGGTGACGTGCTGAGACTCAGAGACTGTAGAGTCGCTAGTGAGTGAGACATTCTCGCTCAATATTGTCAGGGCTTACCACGGTAGTTTTCTTTTTCAGTCGGGCGTCGCTGTCGACCACTTGCGGTGCGTGTAGGTGGTGGTACTTGTTGCGCTGGTTGCGCATCCTTCGATTTTGCGTGCTTTGAGGCGACCTTGCGACTGGTAGCCATGGTTGTCTGCAAGGGAACATTAGCTCACGGTAAGCTGATTTTATAGCGCTATGAAAGACATAAACAAAGACATCTAAACCTTGAATTTTTTTGTTGATTTCAGGGCGTGTAAAGTTCAGAGCTAAAGCTGTGATCAACAGACGGAAAATGATAAAAGCAGCAAGTGTACCGTTACTGCAGTGCAACATTTCCCTACCATGGTTATCTCAGTCTACAAGCGGTATGTAGTCTGCATCAAACACTCACCGGCATGCTCTGACAAATTGTATAGTACAGTGTCCCCAGCCATAGGCGACAAAACCGCTACCAGTAAAAATGGAAATATTATTGTCAAAAGGTTAGTTGCATGTCTTCATCACAGCCCCAATGCTCACCGGCTTGCAGGCCAAAGCTCGATGAGCCTATGTATCCACTTCCTCTGCCATTTCGCCAAACGCCCAGCCCTGTCATGGTTAGTCAGTCCTACTTGCAAAAACTAATTACGGAGCGTTGGGAGGCGGAATTGAAGAATTGCGAGCATGCAAAAAAGTTGCAGCTCTTGGAAATGGTGCCGGGTCCAGCTCTTACCTTACTGCAAGCAAACTTGCAAAGACTCATTGTAGAGCGCTGGGAGGCAGAAGTGAGGCGCTGTGAGGAGGCCAAACGGGCGCAACTGTTCAAATTAGTGCTTGCTGCCCATGGTATATCGAGACTAGTGTAGTGTGGTGCAGTAACCAGGGCAGGGCCTGCACAGGCCTGAAGTGCGCACCAGATCGGTGCCTCCACGAAAGGGTTAGTTACAGGGCCTGCCTTGAAAAAAAACTCATTAAAAATATTACGAAGTTAGAAAGCAACCTCGGAAACACTCACCATAGAGCAATCTTCGCTGTTCTCGAGTCGTACGACCTCGATGTCATCCGTTGGATCCCCCGTGACAGGCCTGAAGCGTGCAAACGAGTTGGATCCACCGTGACAGGTCTGAAGCGCGCAAACAAAAGTCGTCTCCAAGGGTAGTGTAGTGTGCCGGCAGGGCCTGCCTTTAAAAAAGAACATCAAAAAATGTTTTGAAGTTAGCAAGCACCCCACTCACCATGCCTCACTGCGATTTCTGTGCCAAGGAGATGGGCTCAAAGGGAGGTGTCAGGAGACATATCAATAATCAACCTGACTGTAGAAGGCAGTGGGAGCTGCTGGTTGAAACTCAAAAAGACATCGGCGCACCTCAGGCTCATTTAGGAACATTAAACCAAGCCGACACCAACAGTGACTCAGCTCATGCTGACTCGTATTCCTCGTATTCCCCCCATCGCCGCTCACGCTCTGAGTCTTCCAATCCCGATCATCCAGACAACCCAGCAGCGCCAAAACATCGGAGGGTGACCATTGAGGAGGTTGAAGACGAGGACCACACGCGATATTTTGAACAATGTGTTGGCGCCGGCCAAACACTGCGTGAAGGCAAAACCGGCTTTGAGAGGTTTCAGGAGTATAAGGAGTGTATGGGCAAGGACAAATGGGCTCCCTTTGATGGTGGGTACGTACCAATCATTGCCTGTCACATCTGCAAGGCAATTAACTTCAGGTCGCAAGGGAGGAATGGGGACTCGCCGAATGGCTTGTTAAAAACCTTGGCCAGACTCGAACAGACGAGTTTCTGAAATTACCGATAGTAAGTTCAAGTTTAGTGTTGAATTTTGAAGGTTTCGTACTCACCATGGCGATAGACACAAAACCGAACGAAACCTTCTTTTCACAATAACAGATCTTTCCTCCAGAAAGTCGACGAGCTTCCACACGCGACAGCCTGGAGTTGCAAAAAGGTTAAGGTCCAGGGAAATAAAACAGATGAGAAGGGCCAGACGCTGCATGAAGAAGTCAAAGTCTGGATGCAAGATCCTGTCGAGTGCATCAAAGACCTCATTGGAAATCCATTGTTCCGTGATCACATGGTGTACACACCTGCGCGAGCATACAGAGACCCAGCAGGACTTCACCGAGTAATTGATGACATGTGGACGGCTGACTGGTGGTGCGACAAGCAAGTAAGTACACCTGGAAAAGCGAAAATGATAAGTACTTACCTATGGCGTCTAGAAACTGTTGCCGAAAGGTGCGACAATCACACCCATAATTCTTGCGTCCAACAAAACTTGTCTGTCGCAATTTCGAGGCGATAAATCGGCGTGGCCCGTGTACTTAACCATTGGCAACATTGCGAAAGAGAAGAGGCGGCAAACATCAGTGCGAGCAATGGTCCTTATAGGATACTTACCTGCTGGAAAACTTGATTGCTTTACTTCTGACGCATGCTCCCTTGCTGGTTACAGGCTTTTCCACCACTGCATGTCCTTGCTCCTCGAACCCCTCGTTGCTGCCGGTCAAAATGGTGTTGAGATGGTCTGCGCAGACTCGTTAATCCGTCAAGTCTTCCCCATCCTTGCTGCTTATGTAGCCGATTTCCCAGAACAATGTCTTGTTGCGTGCTGTAAAGAAAATCGGTGTCCGAAGTGTTTGGTCGCTGCCGATGAACGAGGGGATCCATTGACTTCGCAGATGCGGGACCCTGAGGTGACAAAAGATATATTAGAGAAGCGGAAGAATGGTCAGCATCCAATTCAATTCGACGACAATGGGTTACGCGCCGTCTTCAACCCATTCTGGGCAAATCTCCCTCACGCCGACATCTTTCTTGCCTTCACGCCTGACCTCCTCCACCAGGTCCATAAAGGTGTCTTTAAAGACCACTTAGTTAAATGGTGTCTTGAGATTGTCAGTGAAGATGAAATGGACTCACACTTCAAAGCAATTCCAGATTACCCTGGACTTCGGCACTTCAAGAAGGGTATCTCGACTGTGAGACAGTGGACGGGTACAGAGCATAAAGAAATGCAGTGTGTCTTCGTTGGTCTGCTCGCTGGTGCTGTCCCAAGGTAAGCATTAGTAAGCTGTGCTCAACAAAGGCTGTACTGACACAATTAATGCTAGTCGAGTCTTAGTAGTTGCACGAGCCATTCTAGACTTTTCATATTACGCACAGCTTCGAATGCACACTGCTGAATCCCTCGATGGTCTGGAGAGCGCGCTTGCAGTGTTTCACGCCAACAAAGACATCCTGCAAGAGCTTGAAGTTCGCGAACACTTCAACATTCCTAAATTACATCAAATCTCACACTTTGTTAAGTCCATCACTCTATTTGGTTCCACCGACGGTTTCAACACTGAGCTTCCAGAACGACTACACATTGATTTCGCAAAAGACGCCTATCGTGCCAGCAACAAATGCGACTACGAGGAGCAAATGGCCTTATGGCTTCAATGGCAGGAAGCCGTATTCCTACATAGTTCTTACTTTGATTGGTTGTCGGAACGATCCCAGTCAGCCACAGTGTCCAGTCACACATATCCCAACCGCAGAAATGACTTGGATTCAGACTCGGACGCCGAGATTGAAGAGTTTGCTGCCCCCACAAACACCATTCCGTCATCCCCCACTGCGTCATCCCCCACTGATGTGATCTGTATTCTCGCCAAGCATCCTCCACACCCTCGGCAGTCTGTTGATCGCCTCATCACTGCACATGGCGCCACCATGTTTCTCCCCGCCCTCAAATCTTTCATGCGCGAACACATGCCACATAATAACATCATCCCCGGTCCACATGACCGGTTTGATATTTATCGACAAGTCATCATAGTTACCCCGCCTGATCCACGCACCAGTGACTCACCAAAGCGGTGGCGCATTAGAGCAACACCTGAAGTGCAGCCTGGTCCTGCCAGCCGAAAACCTTGGTCCCCCGCTAGATTCGATATGGCGCTGATAAGTGATGGTGCTCGGACGACGAATTTGCGGACACTCGAAGGTAAGCATTGGTTACTATTCAACACTTCAATGTCACACTGACTGAAATGGATACTGTACTAGGTGTGCGAGTTGCACAAGTTCGTATCATCTTTACCCTCCCTCGTCAGTTTCTAGTTGGAACGAACTCCCGAGCACTAGCTTACGTCGAGTGGTTCACGCCGCTTCGGGAGCCAGATCCCTCCTCTGGCCTGCGTCAAGTGTCGCATTCAACTCGTCAGCTGCATCAGAATGCAGCCGTGATCCATCTTGACGAAATGGTTTGTCCGTGTCACCTCATTCCAAAAATGGGACCATCTGTTGACCCTGGGTGGACGAGCGCAAACGTCTATGAGACAGCACATGATTTTTATTTTAATACTTTTATTGACCTTGAAACATTTTGTATTTCCACTCGTAGTGACTAGAACTAACTACTGCTGCTACTGTGCTACAATGACTACAGATTGCTACTACCGTCACCTGAAGCTCTACATAGTCCTGGTTTCGGCTACACCAGTTATGTAGTACTATATAGTAGCCTGGATGTCTACATAGTACTACACCGCCTATGTAGCGCTATATAGCTGCCACTATGACTATGAGGATTTGGTGTTTTTCCTGATGCATGAGCCTATTAAAGCTAGATACAACGTCAGTCCTCAGTTGTGATGGAACAGACTAAGATTATAGTATACCTAGATACAACTGTCAGTCTAGCGAGAGCGCTTGTCAGTATCTAGGTAGGACTCGAACCAACAAGAGAGCTCACCCTCAGTTGTGATGGAACAGACTGAGGGGAGAGAATATTACGATGCAATATATATATGTATTGGTTCGTATTCCAACCATTGAACTCCGCTTGTCGTGTCGGCGTGCATTGCACTAACACTCCTCCTCGACGCGACAGGCGATACTCCTCCTTGATTTCTCACTGTAAGCCCAGGCATAAACGCAAGCATTCAAAGTCCTTCCTTGGCAGGGCTTTTGTGAAGATGTCCGCAGCGTTGTTGAGTGATTTCACATAACTGAGCTTGATCTGGCTATGAGCCACGCGTTCTTGAAGTGAGTGTATGGCGATGTCGATATACTTAACCTTCGAATGATAGGATGCGTCCTCGGAAAGTATGATTCCCCCCGTGTTGTCGCACAGCAGGGGCGTGGCTGAAGGCTGCGTGAATTCCAGTTCGTCGAGTAGTGTACGCAGCCAGACGAGTTCTTTTGAGGCTTCAGAAGCAGCGACATATTCAGCCTCGCATGTCGACAAAGACACTGTCTTTTGCTGACGCGCACTCCAGGTAATGATACCACTGCCGAGAGTGAAGCAGTAGCCACTCACTGAACACCGCATATCGGGGCAGTTGGCATAGTCGCTGTCAGTGAAACCCAGCAGCTGTGCGTGGGTGATCGCCCCCGAGGATCAGCCTAAGTTCACGAGAACCTTTCAGATACCGAACGATGCGCTTCGCAGCCTCCCAGTGAATGGGACCATAGCAATCAAGGTGCCTACATAATTGCTGGACAGAATGGGCTATGTCTGGGCGTGTACCGATAGCGATGTACATTAGAGAGCCGACAAGCGAACGGTAAGGAGTCCTCGTCATAAGTTCCCATTCGGAGTCTGTAGAAGGGGAATGGGTGCGATGGGATAGATGGAGGCCGGTCTCCATTGGCGTCGAGATGGGGCATGCGTCCTTCAAGCCGAATTGGCTGATGACACTGGTCGATTAGCGCGGTCTGTGAGAGACTTATCGTCCGATTCAGGCGATTGCGTTCTAATGCAATGCCCAAGCAGAAACGTGCTTCCCCTAGGTCAGATACAGACCATTTTGTCTGCAGCTGGTCCTTGAAGTGTGAGACAGCGGCCTTGGTGTTGCCAACAGTGAGAAAATCGTCAACGTGAACGGCGACTGAGGAGGATACCAGTATCTGTATGACGAAAGTAAATGCAATGTTCGCATTTGAGGCACTTGAAGCCCCAGGATATCATTGCCTCGTTCATAGTCCTATTCCAGACAAGACCCCCTTGCTTCATCCCGTACAACCCCTTTTGGAGCTCCCAGACCCAGTCTTCTTTGCCAGCTTCGATGAAACCGTCAGGCTGGTACATGTAGCACACTTTGTCGGATTCGAGCAGTCCATGGAGGAACACTGTTTTGATGTCAATCTGATCGATTTCCCAGTCCAATGCAGCACCGAGATGAGTCAGAACATGGAAGGATTCGAGGTGCGCTGTAGGTGCAGAGGTCTTTGTGTAGTCCTGGCCCCACACGGCCGAGTACCCACGACACACATATCGTGCCTTGAAACGCGCAGGCTTACCGTGTTGGTCACGTTTAAGCTTAAAGACAGGCCGTCCCCTCATAATCTTTCGACCGGGAGGTACTGCTGACTGTGGGACTAGTTTGTATATGCCAAGGTCCCGTAAAGAGTTGAACTCCTCTGTTAGAGCCGCGGTCCAGTCTGAAGCGTGGTCTGAAGCCATGGCTTCACTGTAAGTAGTGGGGTCATCCGGAAACTCATGCTCCAGGTTGTCAGGCATGGCCGTGAAGACATTTGCCAATGTTTGGAGCTCCTCCTCAGAGATACTCGATGCTAGTGTGTCCTCAGGGAGTTGCGATGTCGTGGTGAGAGGTTGAGCATGGTCTGCCGTTGCGAGAGCCTCCAGGACAGTGCGTTGAGTAGGTGATACATAGGGCTTACCTTCCATGGCACAATGACGGGCGGAAGGGATAGGTGTACGGGGAGAGCGCCGAGGTGCTTCTGGAGAGTAAGAAGGTGGCAGAGGAAGGGGTAGCATGGGTGCGTCAATGTCTGCGACTTCCTCGATAGTTACTGCATGAGAAGGCTCATGAGGCGTTGGCGAGGGCGCGGGTGGAGCTGTGGCGACGGCCGGTAATGGTGTGCCAAGGTGATGTGACTCTATAAAGGAGACATGATAGGAGACGAATACTTTGTGTGAGGCCCGATGGTAGCAACGGTAAGCCTTTGAGTCTGGAGAGTAGCCGATAAGTACACATTCGACAGACCGACTGTATACCTTAGGATTATGTCGATTCTGTATCAACACAAAGGCTCTGCAGCCAATCTCACGCAAATGGGCCAGGTCCAGTTTGTGGCCGTGCCAGTGTTCGAAGGGAGTGTGATTCAGCTGGGAGATCACAGGAGTACGGTTGGACAAGTAGCAAGCAGTGAGAACGAACTCATCCCATCTGTTGACGGGGACATCGCAGCTTGAGCGCATCACACGAGCTTTACCCATTAGCGTGCGGTGCAGGCGTTCGACACACCCATTTTGTGCTGAAGTGTAAGGTGCAGTGAACTGCTGCTGGGAGCCTCGCGAGAGAAGCCAATCCCGCATGGAATCGCTCTTTAGTTCGCCGTTGTCGGAGCGATATATACCCACCTTCAAGCCAGACTCCACTTCACGAGCGAGTGCCCAGGCTTGTAGGGCAGGGAAAGCATCAGATTTTGCGGCGAGTGGGATGGCCCACGCATAGGATGAAAAGTCATCAATTATGTCCATGACGTATCTATTACCAGCGGCAGATGCAGTATCAGGGTGCTCCATAAGGTCGACATGGACAATCCCTAACTTCCTCTCTGCTCTATTCCCTGTCCATACCTTTGGGACGATGTTTCTCGTCTGCTTCCCAAGGATGCAATCGTCACATTTGGGAGGTACAGCAGAGAGATCAATATCCATACCGATAGCGTTACCGGAACGAGCAAGATCGTAGACAGCGCGAAAGTTTGCGTGTCCAAGGCGGCGATGCCAGGAGTGAAGAGTGGGTTTGATGTTCGCCATGTAGGCATGCTCAGCTGATAACTGTCCACCGGAAAGGGCGTAGAGTCGGCGAGACGTCAACGTGCCTGAGAGCATGCGGGTTCCATTATGTGACTGTACCCAACAGTTGGCAGTGTCGAAAGACGCGACACACCGATGCGCTGCGCAGAGAGCAGAGACAGATATGAGGCAGACGGTGGCAGCGGGGATGAAGAGAACATTTTCGAGGGTGATGTGGATCCCTCTGGCGACGACGAGGTGCAGAGTGCCGATGCCCACAGCTTGAATGGAGGAACCTCCAACACCATTGACAGGACGGGGGGGAATGGGCCGAAGACTAAAGAAGTCAGCCTCATTGTTGCTAATGTGAATGGATGCGCCACTGTCAAGGAAGAAAGGAATTATGGATGGGTCCACAATGGTGCGCAGACGCTGGTTGGGGGCCTTGTAGGTGATGCCAGCGAAGTCGACAGCGCAGGGAGTATGAGCGCCAGTCGAGGCTGGTGGTAAGAGAATCCACAGCTGCGATGAGTGCAGTATACTCATCTTCATCTACTGGCAGACAGTTCGCGTATAAATGCAGGAGTGATAGTGTCGCTGGCGAGACCTGCGAACTCAGTCGAAGGTGTATGAGTGTCAGCAGGTTCTGGGGGAGACGCCACATATATAGCCTGGTGTGACTCGCTGTCGAGCAAGTATGCTCGACCACTAGTGTCATAGCGAAGACCACCGGGTTTCCCGGTGGCCACTGCTGGCTTAGGTGCAGTTTGCTGTCTTATTACCTGCTGATGACCCCCTAGCTTCTTGCGTGGCACGTTTGCGCGCCAGCACCTCATCCCGTTTTCCTTCCATGGCTCCTCCTTTAGCGAAACAGTCCTTGGAGGGGTGGCTCGAGTTGCCACAGGTACTACAGGAGACACGGTCACGGTGATGAGTGCTGCTCCCCTTGCCGGTGGCAGCCATGACGACATCACCACTCTTGGATTTCTCCGTGTCGATGAGCTGTTGCTCAACGTCGAGGCAGTGAGCGAATGTTCGAGGGACCATAAGAGGTGGTGGAAGTACTGGTGGCGAGAGCATCTGCAATGTGATTGCGGACGTGGGGGAGATCCTCTGCCATGGCGTTAAGCATCATGATAGTGAGGAAATCATCTTCCTTAGGTATGCCAATAGCATATATGCGCCGAACGAGTTCACCAAGTTGAGTGCTCGTGGTGGAGAGACGCTCAGAGCGTCGATAACGGATGGACAGCACCTGTTGGATGAGCAAGATCTGAGCGATGGGCCCGACCTGTTCGTGACGAGACTTGAGAGCGTTCCACGTGAGGTATGCATTGGTGTAGTTGTGAAGGAATTCATTTTCCTCGGAGGTCGAGCATGTGCGTAGCGCGGCGATGATGCATAGGTTATTAAGGTCCCAATGACCAGCACTCACAGGGTCCACAGAAGGATCAGGCCTGAGTGACGAGACCTAGAATATATCCTCCTCCATGTTTCAGGAGAAGGTAGTTCTGCATACGGTCAGACCAAAGGCTCCAATTGTTCTTGCTGCAATCAAGGACCTCAATTTTGTCTAGGTCAGTTTGGCTAAGAGAGATTGCCGTCACAGTGGCCTGTAATGAGGACATGGTGGTAAAGGCTGGGATAGCGGAAGTAGAGGCTGGTGGGCTGAGTGTGGTGCCTTTCGTGCCAGAGCTCCGAGAGCGCGTATGCGCTGCAGAAGGCATGATGATGACGGACGGGAAGAAGAGGTGATCCGCGTCCTTTGAGGTATATATACGTGCTTCTGAGGCTTATCGCCTGAAGAGGAAAGAGCTATGTGTTCGAATGACGTCGACACTCAGAGAGGAAAGGACTATGACGCCACCAGTCCCTGTAGCTATGATGCATCAAGTCTGCTAACTACAAGTCACAGGTGATGCATCAAGTATGCTACTTAGCCTTCTTGTGATGCATTACAACATGCTAGTTAGCAGTCCTATAGTATATAGCTTGGTCAATTACTTTGCGGCTCGGTCATTTGTATTTCGGTCAATTTTCCAGTCGAGTCTTCGGCAACTTAAATCACTTTGAATGTCAAATAACAGCCGGTGATGGATTGAATATCAGGTACACTACTAGCTAGGAACAGCGATCAGGTACAGCACAGAAGTAGGTTAGAGAATGTCGGGAATCATGAGGTCTGGTAATGAATGTTCGGCCAACTGAGGTGGCAGGTCAATGGGACCTTCCAGCAAAAGAAAGGGTGCCCACAGCACCCGAAAATGGTCTGCAAGCCCGCGACGGATGTTAGCCTGTCGGGCAGCATAAGCTCGCAACCCTTCAATGTCAGCGGCACACTCCCCAACGCATGCCTTTCCCTGTTCTTCCCACCGTGCTTGCTGCCAGGTAAAAAATTCCAGCACCCTGCGCATCTCTTCCGTGAGTAATTCGACCTCTTCCGACTACCGCAGTGCCCTCGCACGGGTTTTGCACCACTCGATTCGTACACCTTATAGTATGTTAGTTTGCAAAATATAGACCACAACGAGTGCTTACCATCAGTCGTCACCTTCATTGCCATGATCAACACCATCCATCATCCAGATCCACGATACATGATGTCTCCCTTCGCCAGTAGCATATGGGTCCACGAGGGGCTTAATGTGAGTGTCGGCCAATTCCTGCAACCTGCCCTGCCAACCGGTCTTCTTCATGATTGTAGCTAGGCTCTTGAGCGCCATCCATGCTGACCGATAACACTTCACGCAGGCCGTACGCCTTCGGTGGATGCGGGCAAGGGCATTCTGAGCACGAGTATTTGCACCTTGACCACGCACCCATTCCCTTTTGAATGTCAGTAAGGAGCAGTGAATGCGTAGACACTGCCGCAGTTCTTCTAGTGCATCATGAGCCTGTGCAGTAGCGCAATTCCCATTCGTCCTCTTGTAGGCGTGGATCGCACGGCTTGGTTTTCAGTTCTGAAGGTAACCAGAGGTGTATACATTCGGCGTTCTCGTGGCCTTCACGTGCGGCTGCCTGATCAATAAGGCCTTGAACGGCCGGGAGGTAAAGGACTTGTGTACGTCGCCACATATCGATCCTACGACGAAGCGAGTTCCGCATCTGTGTGAGACTGCCTTTCTGCATGTCGGTAGCATGTTGACCCATCGACTCTGGCGATATTGGCTAGACGATGCCTTCGAAAGTATGTCAGCTTGTTTGTGGCCGTCAGAGGGCAAATGCTCACTGTTCCTCTTCCAGGTCTATGCCTGAAGCAATAAGCACACTAGGCGAGATTTGTGGGTGCAAAGAGGAGTCTATACCTCGCTGAAGCTCCTCGGCCTCCAGCTCCGCGAGCTTTAGCCTTACTCCTGCTTGCGTTATAGCTAGACAAAATCATTAGTCCAAGGTAACTGTATAATAGCAGAAAATACTCACCCATGGCTTTGGCCTCAAGCGGATTAGAGATCGATGTGTCGTTCGGATTATCTTCCCAAGCTTGCATTTCTTCTAACCACGCAGAGCGATGCTCGGGAGTGATGACAGCAGTCAAATTCCTCAAATGCGAGTGCATGCACAGCCTTCTCAGCTAGAGCATCCTTCATCTTGTACAGGAGAGACGCGCCCAACCCGACGGTCTTTTTCCAATTCCAATCACCAAAATGGTCGTCCAGCGTGTCACGACTGACAACCAGGACCCATCGCTTTCGTACTTGATGCTACAGGGTTGATATTCGACCAGCCCCTCTCTGGGGCTTCACCATCCGTCCGGCCGACATAACGCGTGAAATTAAACGAGAAGATGGTCTGACATTTTGCAACATGTGTGGGGAGGTGGAACTTTGGCACGAAGAAGCGTATATACTTGGTGAGATAATCCAAGCCATGGGATCGAGGAAAGGACTTCATGCGGGCCCAGAGGTTTTTGTGCCATTGGCACGCAATATCGTAGGACACGTTGAGCATTTCGAGCTGCATACCACGCAAAGTCAAGAAAAAGAGATAATCCATATTGATGTACCTGTCAAGCGCATGATAAGACATGGTAAATACAAACGCAACGAGACCGTGACTTACTTCTCGCCCTTTTGCAGATCGCCGACTCCATTTGGCCAGTTTAAAATTATGACAGGGCACAGTCTACTGTACCGACGCCAGTAGCAGCAAGCCCTTGCGCCTGCTTTGTATCTGCCATGTTGACAGCGCTGTGGCTCGAACATGTACTTTTCTGTAAGATAGTGTGAGTACACGTCAATTGATTAAACCAAATGGTCACATACCTCCTGCGCCTCAGTGAGATGTTCGGCCAGGAAGGCCTTGTACTCTTTCTCCTCGACAAAGTAAGACCAGCCACTCGAAAGACTTGGGTCTGCGTGATCGCTCGATACGTTCCGTCTTTTCAATCGAAAATTCGCGTCGATCGCTAGAAATACTGCATACAACCACCTAAAGACATCAGCCTAGTGGATCAATATCTGTGGTACAACACACCGTTTTGCTTTCGAAGCAGTTTGCCAACCCTCAGGTAAATTCTTCCCTGGCTGCGGACATGCTGGACATAGCACCACGCATTCGCCCTGCGATGTACCATCTACGCCACTGGGATCGTGGCCACGTCCAAAACGTTTCAGCATTGTGAGATGCCGCCACTTACGCACCATCCGCATGAATCCATCATAGCGATCCTGAGGTAGACAGTAAGAGACTGAAGGAACAAAGGTAGATATAAGCGTACCGGCATGCATTTCATCATCCCTGTATTATCCGTGAGTCGAACAAGAGAATGGTAGAATTCATAGGCTGATGCCTTCGACTCGAAGGATAAGATTTGGTAGTAATGCAGAAGTCGAAATGTTGCCGCTGTCCTAGGGTTAGTTGGCGTGGAAGGGAACCATCCGTGACGAAGGAGTTGTTTAACATGTGTCTCGGATGTCTCACAACCACAGAAGTCCAGTCCTAGTTCGTGTATTCCGTTCGTGTCGATAAGCACAAAGTCGTTGTTAAATGCCGGCTGCGGGAGGATGCATGGATGACCGATGGGATGCCCGAGTTGTACTCGAAGGCCTAGCATCTTCAAGGAAGAGCTCTCGAAGAATACACCATTCCATTGCTGCAAATCAATCAATATATTTCATCTTGCTCGTAAGAGATCACATACCTGTATGCGATGGGTGGGAGACCGGGCATGATTTGCCAGTGAGCATGTACCACAGTACAGTTGCATGTCGTCGCAATCCTGACATCGGAATTCTGCAGGATTGGCGCAACAGCCTGCACACAAGTCCCTTGCATTTTCACCACGTTGTAGAAACAACAATACAATGAGGAACAAAAGAAGCTCCTGACTGTATCTGTAAAAGTTGTAAGGTCGCGCGCTGCCTAGTCTGCGTTACTTGAGAAGCAAGTGCGTTCGACCCTATAGGGGAAGTGAGTGCAGCAAGGATCTAGAAGTGTGCGCTTAAGCGAAGCGCGAGAAAGCGCAGGAGCGCGCAAGGTACAAAGGCGCGGGAACGCGCGCGCGTATTAGCGCGAAGCGCGGGAAAGTGCGCGCGCGTATGCGGAAATGAGAAACTAAGCTTAAGTAGTGATATAAAGCAAGATAAGAGATATAAGAGTGCAAAATGTAAAGGAATAGCTTTCTACTATATTCTGCTAAGTAGTAAGTGGGTAGTAACTAGTAAGTGAAAAGTAGGAAAAGTAGGTCCAGTGTAGTATGTACTGCTGGCGCTTATATAGCGCGCCTAAGCGCGCTCATGTGGAGCCGAAGCGCTACCGAGTAGGTATGTAAAAATATATATGAGTGAGAAACTATGATAAAAATAAAGGTGGAACTATGCTAATAAAGGAAATGGAAATATACATACTAGGGAGCTTGGTGGACAGTGGATGGATGCATCTGGATGGCTGGCGCTATAGGGCGCGCAAGCGCGGGAACGCGCGCGCGTATACATCGTGAAGCGCGGGAATGGTGCGCGCATGGCGCGCGTTGCGTGGGAAAGCTGCGCCTCATATAGAGATAGCTGCGGGTAGCGCACAGAGTAATGCTATGAGTTCGTGCTGTATACTCCTTGGTGAAAACTACCATATCACGCCATGAGAGGCATGATTCTCTACAGTGTCCATCCAACCAAATGATCTCCCGGAGATATGTATCACGTTCCTTTTTCCAAACAAGCAGAGGATTGTCCTGACGAAGACAGTGAGTAAGGAATAATGCGACAGAAATAAAGATAACTCACACCAGCTGTGCGCTTGCTTTTCTGACTTTGAGTCATTGTTCCGTCTTCGCCAGCATCCATTGAAGGTTCATCAAACACTGCAAAATCAAACTCAGTGCTTCCGTCCTCAGGGCCTGCAAATTGGGAAGACTGGTGTGTGGACGAAGGTGACGGGCGACAAATCAGATGGGCAGCAGACACCTGCATATTCCCATCTCGACGTCCTGAAAACCTGAAGGCAGTATGGACCGTCTCTCGCAACTGTGAGGTAGGTGGTGCATAGTGATTGAGCTTGGGTCGTTTTCGATTGCTGACTTGTCGAAAAGTGAAACGTGAAGGGGCACGTTGGACAGTTTGATGACTGGTTGGGGCAACACCCTCGGTGACACCATCAATTCGGGTGGGGCCTGCATTTGAAGAATCTCCAGCAGGTAACATCGCTCGGACAATGGGCTCCGGCAATGGGCTTGCACATGAGAAGGTGTGACACAAGGTGACATGTTAGCATGACAGAAGCTTGCAACTCATCGAACTCGAACTCATCGAACTCACTGCCAGTGCGATGCAAGAACTACGACTACAGCGGCGAAGGCTACCTGAAGGTTTTTGCATCACCCAATATGGATGGCTTTCAGTACAAAAAGCCCGAGGTCAGTTCCAACTTTTCAACATCATTCTCCTACCACTTACTACACCCAATGATGATCTCCCCCAGCACGATAACAGATGCCGTGCCTGTGGCGCTCATTGTTGATGGTAATGGCACTGGTAAGCAACAATATTTCTTTGCGCGGTCTGGTTCTTACTAGCAGGATAGATGACCTCCCTGCGGCCCCCATCACTGACGGTACTGGCGATCTTACTAGCAGGATAGATGACCTCCCTGCGGCCCCCATCGCTGACGATACTGGGGGTAATGGCACTGGTAAGCAACGATATTCCTAAGCACACTCTGCTTCTTACTAGTGTTCAACAGATAGTCTCATTGAGCTCTTGGCCCAAATGAATATCACTGGGCAGGAGGCGTCTGATGTGACGTCCAAGATCCATGATGCGGTCCAGAATGCGCTGGTCGCCGCCGTTTCTGCTATCAGTGCTGTTAAGACTACTTCAGCATCAGCTCCACTCATCCCAGCGTTGACTCCTGTTGTGACCTACAATGTGCCAGCGGCTGATGCTACAGGACCCTTCTACTGGGTGACTCGTGGCCGCTGTATTGGCATATTTTCTACTTGGTAAGTGATCCGCATTATTTAGATTAACGGCAACTGATTTGTGATCCGCCAACAGGCAGCAGACCTCGTCCCATGTCATTGGCGTGAGCAGGGCCTCTTTTTCGAAGGTCCGCTCAGTAGCCGAAGGCATTCAGCTGATGGAAGAGGCCATTGACCGCGGCGAAACGGAGGTGTTGACGTAACAAATGTATACCTGAGCTTTTACATAGTAGTGAACACGCATGAATCTCAATGAAAAATATGCAATTCAAAGTGACATTAGTGTGCAAGCCTCTTGAGCCTATTCAACATTCGTTGTAGTTCTGGTACAAGAATCCCTTGAGTAAATGGACTATGGCTAACTGAGCATCTCCATCGCTGAGCGCATGACAATAGATGTCTTCCACCATAGCAATGGTGTCCCTCATGCTCCTGCACACTTGTTCTGCGGCACGCCACTCGTCACAAACACCGCAAAGTTGGAGGATACCGTCTTGTCCTCAACTAGCCCTGTCAAGGAAGTCCTCGATGCTTGACATCGCGCGCTTGAGAATCTCTCTATCTCCGTGAGTTCCGGGAGCATCTGGGATAGACTTCGCGTATTCGGCGAAGACACCCAAGGTGAATTGTTGCGGAGATTTGATGTGCTGCATGAAGTCGTCCTTAGCATACTTCACCACGGCAATACAATCAGCTAATGTCCTTCTGATATTTATATTAAAAGCACAGCGACAATAATAATATTCAGCACGTACATTGATTCATCGTCATCGCTCGCACACTCGTCACTGCTATCATTGCCCTTATCCAAGTTGTCACCCACGCCCTTGTTGTCGCTGCCGTCGTCATCCTTTCGACGATTTTTGTTGAGGTGGTATTTCTCTCTTCTTTTTGCAAGGATCTCCTCACGGCACCTGCATCTGTAATCAGGGCATCGTAGGCTGAACGAAATAGACGATACTTACTTAGCATAGTAACGCAAACGCTTGGCCCTTACGGCCTGAAGCTTAGCCGCGTCGGTTTTATATTTGATTGGAGGGGCCATAGTGTATGGTGAAGCAACGGTGTCGTTTGGTGTGGAGAGAGAAAAAAGAGGATGAGCTTCGGATGCTTCGATTCGTCGGACTGTATTAGTTATGAGCCTCCATTGGTTCGTCAGACTGTATTAATTACGAGCCTCCATTCAAATGTCGATGGCCCATGGTGCCGAGTACTACACCGCCGCAAATGCTGTAGATAAAACAAACTGTAAGTGCGGTGCATGACATGGATGATAATCAGCACATCTACTCATTGTGAGACAATGGGCACGCACCTGCTAAAGCATCGCTGCAGTGCAAGTGGAGCGTTATTGGTTGGACCTTAATCTGCAATTCAATATTGAAGTTTCAAGTTGTTTTTGGAGTGAACTGACCCTTCCGAGTCGTTATTCAGTGACTTATTGTGATACGAGTAGTCATTAATCATCACCGGAGTAGGTTGGACATGTAGGTCGGACCTTAATAGCTTTGACCTGTAAAGTAGTACTACTAATCATAATCATGGTAGGACCGCAATGAGTTTGAAGTTGCGTTTGTCCGGTTCAGAATGAACTATGCTCACATTTTGATGCTGAACATACAGCAGACATGACTGAGCTACTAGGATACATCATACCTCGACCGATTCCTTGGGCGATGATACGTCTGGAGGAGATATCACTGCATAGTAGTAGCATGGTAGGACCGTATTGACTACAATTCAATGTACCAATCACTAACTCTAACTTCTCACATAAGCAAGCGCTCTCACAAGCCGGCTCATCCGTAGGTGAATGATGCTGTTCAAATGTTCAAACACTGACGCTCACAGAGTATTTACAGGTAAGTATCATACAAACTAACTACTGGTATGCACCGACACTCACTAGGTTGAAGCACTGTTACCTTTCGGTCCAGGCCCTGCCGCTTCGATGATCAAGTGCTTCCGAGTCTGCTTCGGTGGCGCTTCCTACAGCGTCCCTCAGGTCCGCCTTGTCTTCCTACAGCGTGCTATGGGTCGGGCTGATCTTTTTCAGAACATTACATGTGAAGGTATGGACCATGCATTTTTTTCACCCAGTGATCACTGGTGGTCGCGAGTTTTATATATTTCACGACGATACAGATCAATGCCTTTATTTTTACAAACACTATGTACAGAGAGATTGTAGATATCAAGGTTGAAAATATCATTGTACTATACATAGTATCATTTTGCGAGTCTCCCGGAGATGGTAATGTAGATGTCGCATCTGAGAAACAAGGATTCTCTGAATTAAATTAGATTCAAAACGTCAAAAAAGAGTGACTGGTAGTGAGGGCGGTGATTTGGTCTAGCGATTCGGTCCAGCGATTCGGTCCAGCGATTCGGTCCAGCGATTCGGTCCAGCGATTCGGTCCAGCGATTCGGTCCAGCGATTCGGTCCATCGAAATGGGCTCTATGATATTCAAAGGACGAAGACGAAGAAAAACATCCCTCCCTAACTCACTACGTACTGAAATTATCACCCCATCCCTCAGGTCTGACCGCTGTATGTGCCAGGATGCTGTCCCTCTGCTCCTACTGATCTCAGTAATAGATGCCTCGGAAAAAAAAATGGACAAGCAACGAGCAAGAGGAATTTCTCACCTCCATGTTGGGAGAATTTCGCATGCACGCCGCAGACAAGAAATACGAGGAGTTCTGGAAAAAAGTCAACAAATCGTTTTTCGAGAAATGGCCAGAGCGAAGGGCCCTCTTTGGTGACTTGCCTGCTGACCACATCCTTACGCCAGATCAAGTGAAGGATCTGGCAGACGCTGTGGAAAGTCGTGAACAGGTAAGCACTACCATCTGTGAGTATGCGAAACACACGTACCAACTCATTTTGATTAGCAACTAACTACATGGTACCGTTGGCGGAAAAACCCTGCTCGCCTGGGCCGCACGAGTGGTGTTAAAGGAGCTTTGAAGTTCGACACTGTGTTAGCTGGTGGTGTGGAACTTAAGGGGACCCGCGCACCGCAAAAAATAGACATTTACTCCTACGAATACTATGGAGAAAAAGTCAAGGACACTGCAGACGCCGAAATCAGAGTACAGAATGTTACTGACCGCGGGCCAAAGCTGAATAAGCGCCGTGAGGTCACGCGCCGTTTGTACTCTGAAGAATGCGAGGACGTCAAGAATAAGGTTGAAAGGCGTTACCAGAAGGCAAAGGCAAAGCATGCGAAAGCACGTCTACGCCAGAAGTCGGGGAAGATGCCAAAAATTAACGACGCAACCAAGATAAAGTACGTACTTCTGTCGTTGATCACATGGTTGTATTCTCAAGCACATTTAAAAACTGCAGGGCTATCCGTGAGCTTGGTCCTATGCTTGATCGGATCCTTAAGTACCTTGCATACGCCACGGGTGGGTGGAAGTTCACGATCCTTATGGGAGGGAAGGATCCTAGCACTGGAGAGGTGTCTGTGTTCAAGTGAGTGATGCGTGATCAAGTTGATGAGGAAGTGCGCTTACCTAATATTATGAAGCTATCACATTGGTGAACTTGAGAGTGGGGCACAGTTTGATCAGACTTACGCCAATTTTGATGTGATGCAGGCTGCGTTTCTAGCCTTCGTCAAAGACGCTCTCGGTACGTCAATATAAGTGTCAGTTCAAAAGCATACACTGACCTTTTCACTAGCATTTGAGTCGACACTGCCTCAAGACTCAGACGCTGAGGAGGCAGAAGATTCATCATCAGACTTGCATGATGGTTCAGACGAGGAGTGGGCAACAACGAGTGGCAGTGAGCATGGTGGTCATGATGTGGAAGAAGAGGACTTGGATGATCTCCTGCCAAACAGCGCCCATCGAATCAACACTGCGGGCATGTACCGGATGACTCCTCAGTCTGAGTCATCCATCGAAGACGATTTTGGCGCCGCCATAGCATCAACTGATGCATCACTTCCATGTGCGCAAATCTTAGGTGACGCATCATCTGGTTCTCAGCTCCCGAGTGATTCCCACTTGGCTTCGTTCAACAACCCTCCCAACCTACCTGTGTTTGACCACGAGGTGTTTACTGCTCTCATCAATGACCCGGATTTCAATATCAGCATCTTGGATGCTCTCCCCGACGCCCCCCCCCTTCAATCCAACCCATATCCTGAAGTCTTTATCCCTCCAGCTCCTCGCACTGATGACGCATCATCTACACAATATCCTGAAGTCTTTATCCCTCTGGCTCCTCGCGCTGATGATACACCATGCATCCAATATCCCCAAGTCTTTATCCCTCCGGCTTGCATCCAATATCCCCAAGTCTCTATCCCTCCGGCTCCTCACGCCCATGATACATCATCTACTCAATATCCCGAAGTCGTTATCCCTCCGGCTCCTCCCGCTGATGATGCATCATCTGCCCAATATTCGCAAGTCGTTATCCCTCCGGCTCCTCCCACTGATGATGCATCATCTGCCCAATATTCTCAAGTCGTAATCCCTCCGGCTCCTTGTGCCGATGTTGAAAATATGGTAACACCCAATGAATCTGATGGTGCCAGCGCGGCACCAACTTCATCAGTCCAAGCTGGATCTCAGCGTCATCATGGAAGGCGCACACAACAACGTTCACAACTGACCGTGCCCACTTCCTCGGCAGATGAAATCCAACCACTCCCAGATGGGCATCGCCGAGTGCGCAAACCCTTCAATGCAAGAGAACGTGACAACGATATTGGCGGGCCAATGAAGTAAGTCGGTCCTTTATGTGCTTCAAGTTGCATCGCACTGATATGATTACATCCTAGGCGCGCTCGGCATACATAATCAGTAAATAGTGTCTTATCTACATATCTTGTTGCGAGCATCCATGTCAGTATTAGTGATTTAATTGAATGTTTCTTGTCGTACAATGTTCCTGCATCCAAACACTATGCGTGCTTCCATAGATACTTGCAAGTCGGCCTCAAGACCAATAAGATGACAATACCCCCTCCAAACGTTTACAGCCCACGAGACTCAAACCGGCCACTGCAGGTATGAAGGCGAGATATGTCGAAAGTTCCGTTTTGCCCAGACACATCAATATATCGCAGCTCGCCACGGCTGAAGCGCTGAAGTGTCAGGAGAGATGGAGCTGGACTTGGTGATAAAATTTTGAAAAATGACGTCATGCACGTATTTGACTTGAGCGCAAGCTTCAGTGAAGACTGGAAAGGTAAGAGGCCTCCCAAAAATGAGTTAGATAGCCGGATGGCCAGACGGATGCCTGGATCTAGTGTAGGTAAGCAAGGTACAGCATAGGTAAGCAAGGTACAGACAAGGGAAGCAAGGTACCAGGGTATAATGCCAGCGAACGGATGCTGGGTGCAGCCCAATTTGGTGCGGGAGGATGATGCATCAGTGATGCATCACATTCCCAATAGGGTTGGAGGCTGATGCATTGTGATGCACCACTGCTCGCTATCATAGTTGATGCATCATCAAAATATGCTAGTTAGCCTGTTTTGTTGCATCATTATGACAGTATAGCCTGATGATGCGGGCGTCGTGTTTGATGGTTCAAGAACAGTAGTCGACCCGCTGTTATCTAGATGGTTCCGCTCCTCGTTTATTACGAGCGAGCAGGGCTCATAACCTATTAAAGCTAGATACAACGTCAGTCCTCAGTCGTGATGGAACAGACTAAGATTATAGTATACCTAGATACAATGTCAGTCTAGCGAGAGCGCTTGTCAGTATCTAGGTAGGACTCGAACCAACAAGAGAGCTCACCCTCAGTCGTGATGGAACAGACTGAGGGGAGAGAATATTACGATGCAATATATATATGTATTGGTTCGTATTCCAACCATTGAACTCCGCTTGTCGTGTCGGCGTGCATTGCACTAACAATATACAGTTTATTTTGTGATTCAGTCGATGGGAAGGCATTCCGGGTACAGTAAGCGTGGCTAAGTAGTTTGGTGGTCCGCTTCTTTTGAAATGTCTGAACTTAGATAGCAATCTTGGCATTTTTCAGTTCTCATTCAATATTTGCATTATCATTCATTACTCACAGTAATCACCAGGTAGAGATTCCAAAATTTTCTCATTGAATTGGCAAGAGAAAGGCGCAGTCACAATTGACACCGAGCCGGCGGCTATTCGTGCTTATATATGTTAGATTATTACATTCTACAACGTACAGCAGAAGGAATTCATATGCATGTAAAATAGCAAACCCTTTTATGTTAGACACTTGACCGGGACCCACGTCTCATACTCTGACAACAATGCGATCACACGTAAAAGCCGTAACAGTGCTTACATTTTTGCGCCCCTCGAACAAGTGGATGATGAAGCATGGTCGACTCTACTAACACTAATACGGCATCGGGCCATTGGCAGCATCGCACAAGAGAAAGACGCAGATGTATCTGGAGAAAACGATAGTGGTGACCCCACGTCAACGCGATCCAATGGCACCATTCACAGAGCGCAAGCTTTTCTTCAAACGTAGCGATCGAGATGCGGCCGTAGAGCTTGTACAAACATCATTCGTCAGAGCTCACCAGAGCTCACCAGCATCCATGTAAAACCCATAGATCAGCTCGGGGAAGAACAATGCAACGAGCGAGATATAGGTACACAAATTAAATCACAACTCCTTCAGGAATCAGCTTACAATATCTATTATCTCGAGTTGAGCATTATGCTTTTCTTTTATCTGCCTTCTGACAAATATAAACCGCATGACCGTATACATTATACCACCAGTCACTGAAACGACCTGTTGTCGAGTTGACGTGAATTCCGGAAAAAATAGTAACCATAGTCAACTCACCCCGGAGAACACAGCGGGTATCCACCAGGTATAATTCGATGTCAGCAGAGCGCCAGATATGGGTGTTCCTGTTGAAGAATCAGAATTAGAATTAGAGGCAAGAAATGGCACAAATGCGCCTACCGATCAAGCCTCCGAATCCTGCAGAGTGATTACATGTGAGATTTAAATGATGTAGAAGCGTGGCTGATACTACGTGCCGCTAATGAAGAAACAGATGCCCATCCGCGCGCTACAATCTGAATTAGATGGTTCCTACATCTGGATTTAGACTATCACTCACCCAAGCTCAGAGAGGTCGGGCGTTAAAGTAGCCACAAGCGGAGCCATCATTGCAATGTCTGCATCATCAATGAATACATCAATAAATTTTCACCTAGTGGAAAAGAAGACCACTTACATAGCCCTGCAAAATAGCCATACATCATACTAAGTACAACGGCGCTGGCCAGGCTACTCAATCCAATCATGCCAAAATTGAGCACACCGGCCGAAATCGTCGCAACTATGACCAAGTTTGGCACTCCCGTGAACGTCGCGATGAAACCTGACGTGACTCGTGCCACGCAATTGGACACATTTAAAATCACTAACTGGTCATGTTGTCAGTAGGCAAATAACTGGCATAGCGCTGATCCCACAGAGTAAAACGAGAAGGTGACACTGAGACCGTGTTTGATGGAATCGAGTTGAATGAAGAACAATGGGTAGTAGAAGCCAGTCTGAAAAAAAAAGCCCCTGCAGGACAGTCATTTGAAGGATTTTGAGAGAAGTTGTGTTGAGGTCTCACCCTACTATCATGCAAATAAATGGTGCATCACCAATGCATTTTTTGGCTGCCACAATATAGTTCGCTGGTGTTACCGGCGGATCAAGACGAGTTCGCATGCATAGACATGCAATCAAAAGGAGCACGCTGACAAACCCTGCGCTTGCGCGGACGCCATTTCCAAAACCAAGACGACCATTCAGGAGGTTATTGAGCATAATCGGATGGATGACAGCACCCAGCGATGAGCCCGAAGCGACGAATGTCATAGCCAGTGTGCGTTTCCGTTGGAAGTAATGCGAAACAATAGTGATGGTCGGGACATACACGAGCCCCGACGCGATACCCATGCCTAAACCTTGAGTAAGGAATATCTACACTTAATCAGAAAAAAAGGTCGTAAATTTAGGAGATGTTACCTGATAGTACTGATCGGGTTTTGACAAAGACAACATGAAGAGAGAGAAACTTTGCAGAAGCGATCCAGCAATTATGAGGTGGTAGCTAAGGTAAGTTTGCTGAGTATCCTGGAAAACTTCCAACAAAATTACACCCACAAATATCCTCGGTCATATAGTGGACCTGATGCAAGGCCCACAGCAGTGACTAGAAACGTGTTCAGGCTCCCGATCCATCTTTAAAGGACCTTGAACATACACATCATGAAGACACAAGTGGAAACTCACGATATGGCAGACGATGTCTCGTTTGTGAGGTAATGCTGGGTATAGAAGTCTGGAAAGTAATAAGTATCATGTCCCATTCTCATTTTCATATACAGAAATACCTTGGTAGACACCAAATGACATGGTATAACTTCAGCCTTCAGTCAAGAGCCATTCTTCGTCAATCACAGGTGGCACCAGACTCACCCAATCCCGCATAACTGTGCAAGAAATCTAAGTAGATCAAGTAAGGCCCAGCTTTTACCACCCGGATTGGAGCTGCTTACGCTCCAAAAATTGTCATCCAAGCAGCCAGACCACCTTCGGGAAACTCGTGCGGGTGTGAGAAGAGATCAGAGTCCTTTGCGGAATGGGATCCTTCCAATGTCTGTGAGCCCTCCTTGTCCTGATGAGGGGCCGTATAAGGCATTCGAGGCTCAGATCCAGACGACATCCTGAGCTAGGGCAATTGACAGTGACGGTTGTATATATATACGTGGACCCCATGTTCGTCAAGTGACGAGTGGAGAAACCTAGTCTCGGCTTGTCGGGAGAGAGTGAGAGCGGTTGCACAAACTGATGAGAACGGGTAAACTTGAAGCACCTCAAACAGACTGTACCCAACACTGGCCTATAATCGTGGCCCAAATCATTTTATAGAATTCCTCAATCCACCTGGTCAACGGCAGAAGAATTAGATAATCTGTACAAAAACGTTCATGTCAGGGCTTGATCCATATCGACAAGCTCGAAACGGAAAATGCATCGGCCTGACCATTCTACCTGAGGACATGATGTGGGTATGGCGGTTCTGCATACACCCGGAGCGGCTGTGGCGTACAGCGCTGACACTTTTCACAGCCCCAACACGCGTGGTTTGAGCTTGCAGGGCTCACCTTGGCCTGGTCTCGGGGCCCGAGTTCAATTCCGACATATTAGAGATGAAAAAAAAAACTCGTGAGATGCCGTCCCAACGACTAACTTTGTACTCGATGCCTCTCCGACGCAACCTGTACATGTAGGCTTCATGTCAGCGACGAAAAGCTCGAGTGTTAACATTGTTCAACCGATCGCAAGTATCCACCCAATATGCCTTGCGTTTCGCCAAGAAGATTCAGCACGCTCAAGCCGTAGGGACATTCTTTGCCACAGCATTCGCCAATTTGCACTGGAGGGTGCTTAACAAGTGAAGGGGAGGCTTCATGTGAATCATGTCACCTTGCCCGCCAGTCTACATCACGAACTGACTCGGGCTCCCCAAGTTTTCTTTTGGATTAAACTATGTCCGTACGGCACGCCGCAGGTCTGACGTTGCGAAACTGACAGGATGATCATTCATCATGTAGACGTAAAACACGGATGGTGTAGCTCACTATAAAATTAGAGACATTGCCTTTGGGTGACAAACCTGTTTACCAACCTCATATTATAAATCTTCTTAGTAACTAAGTTAGGTAGTTCAAAGTCAGCTTGATTATCTAAGATTTAGCGGACGAGCTCGTCTAGCACTACCGCACCTTCTCACTCACCGTCAAGACCCCCGTGTAGCATGTAAGTTTTGCTGTTCCGCATCTTGGTCTGAGCATGGCTGGCTGGATGTGATTCGAATCGCAAGGAGCTGTGGACTTCGAGTGGTCAGGGTGGATGCTGTCGGATTGCTTTGGATGTGATTCTGTAATAACAGGCACTAGGTACTGATTTCAACTTCTTCAGATTACAACAACAATGGGTCGTCGTCCCGCCCGCTGCTACCGTTACTGCAAGAACAAGCCCTACCCCAAATCACGGTACAACCGTGGTGTCCCTGATCCTAAAGTTTGTTCACCCACGACCCGTCGTTCTAAATCTCACTCTCCATAGATCAGGATTTTTGACCTTGGTCGTAAACGTGCCTCCGTCGACGAGTTCCCCTTCTGCTGTCATCTTGTCTCCGATGAGTATGAGCAGCTGAGCTCTGAGGCTCTCGAAGCAGCTCGTATTTGCGCCAACAAGTATGTCACCAAGACATCTGGCAAGGATTCGTTCCACATGCGCGTCCGTGTGCACCCATTCCACGTTATCCGTATTAACAAGATGTTGAGTTGTGCTGGTGCTGATCGGTTTGTGACTTGGTTTTGAATTCTTGGTGCGAGTCTTAGATTTTTGGTGCAGGCTGCAAACCGGTATGCGTGGTGCTTGGGGTAAGCCCTACGGCACTGTCGCCCGTGTCAACATCGGCCAGATCATCCTCTCTATCCGTTGCAAAGAATCCAATGCTGCTGTCATCCAAGAGGCTCTCCGCCGTGCACGGTACAAGTTCCCCGGCCGTCAGAAAATCATTGTCTCGAAGAAGTGGGGCTTCACGAATGTGGCCCGCGAGGACTACATGAAGCTCAAGGACGAGAAGAGAGTGGTACAGTACGTATTATCCCAGGTTGTCTGGGGAATTTTTAGATTGACAACTTTGTTGTACAGGGATGGAGCTTATGTACAGTTTATTCGTGCTAGAGGTCCCTTGGAGCAGAACTTGCGTGCTCAGCTCAAAGCTTAGGTCTATACTCGTTATACATATAATTACTCTCAGTGGAATGTGTGTAAGATGGACTGCAAGCGCCTGCATGCTAGGAATTCGTCAATTTATGCGATTATGTGAGTGACGAGATCATCAAACCTATACAGTGTCATCAAATTTGGCTCCAATAAAAGCTCCTGCTACTGGTACTAGATCTGCGTGTGGATATCCCGTCAGTAGTACATTAGCAGACTCGATGTAACTGACCACGTATACAGATTTGTATTGGTTCTCTGTGGCAAGAGTCGGCGCATTTGCTTGCAAAGGTAGCACATGACACATGAGCCACCTCGAGGAAATCCCCTCGAGGGTCTCAACTGTGTGTTAGGATAGTCCATGTAGGCCTAGAACACGTCAAAAGGTGAGGACCTACCGAAGTACGACACTATTTCACGCAGTGTGTTGCGTGTGCCTGGCCTTGCAGGTCCGAGTAAGACATTTGATGGTGCGGATAGCGACGCTTCACTGATTGTTGATCGCCATATCGTTTTGGTTTCAGAAATTCACATCAATGTCCAATAGAACTCGAGGGTGGTGATGCAGAAGTCCTGCCTCGTAATTGTACTATATGTTTGAATGAATGGACGAGTGTTGCATATTCAAAGTAGAAAGCTATCTCCATGGGCTACTGCACATAATATAGATACCCTACATACCATGATCACGATTGCTCTGTTACCACGTGTTAGTCTGCCAGAAGTCCGAGATAATGGTGACAAACGTACCTAAGCCAGTTAAGTGCGTTAGTGTCTCAGATGTACACGGGAATCGCTGGACAATGCAGTAGGGAAATTCCTCGGGATGACTGAAGCAACAAAAGATCAGCGAACTAGTCTCAAGGACAAATGAGATTTTACAAACACAGCGGCCCCAGTGGTGAACTTTGGAATGACTGGGATGTCCATGCCATGATCATCAAGAGCCTTGTGGGCCGAAAAAGCAGCCAGGAAGCTTGCCGTCGCGATCCAGAGTGACGCGTCTGCGACATGTCGTCCCACACTTACAAGCAGCTTTCAGTGGAGAGTGAAGAAGCACTAAACATATGCTCACCACGCCCGGCGACCCCAGCCAAAGCCTAAAGGCATCCTGTCGTTGGTGAAGGACCCATCATCATGGAGAAATCGTTCGGGCTTGAATTCATCAGGACTGGGGTACTTCGTTTTATTATGTGTCATCGCCCTAAACCATTGGTCATTTCGAGCGAATTCAGTATGAAAATATTGCAAGCTTTCCATGTATTTTTAAACACAATAACCCCTGATAATCTGGGTCATTAGCGACCTTCGCTAGAACAGTATGATACCAACCTTTGGGGATGAAATAACCTTTATAGATGTCACTAGTCGTTGTTGCGCTAGGAACGCCTTGGTACTCCATCAGAAAAAGCACAAAATTGGCATTATAGTGGACGGACCCAACGGAAATACAGGGTGCCACCTGAGTGTTTCACGCAAAATACCCTCCACGTAAGGCAACGCAGGCTTATCGTCGAAACTGGGGAGTCTATCTTTGCCAACGACACGGTCAATTTCCGCGTGCGCTTTGGCTTGTGCTTCTGGATGGAGCACCATAGCAAGAAGGAACACAAGTAACGTGGAGGTAGTCTGAGCCGATGGCAAAATGATCACCACGCCAAGCACAAACAAATGTAATGCGTACCGTTTCAACCCCCCCTAAAGATAAAAAATAAGATGAGTATCAAGAGAGGGAGTTCTGTAGCCCAGGTACCTGCAAACGCAATAGAAGCAGCTTCCTTGACTGCAGTTGTAATGACGTTGTCATCCTCAACAGAAAGCCTCGCCCTGTTCAAGGTCTCAGTCACAAAGCATGGTGCCATGTTGCCAGTGGACTGCATGCCATTCGTCAGTTCACCGCACCAACATGGATGAGGTGACGTACCATCTTCTCCTTGACATATTGAAAGGGTAACTCCTTCACATCATGGGCTGCGTTCAGACATTTCACTGACGCTCGCTTGAATGTGGCACCGGGAAACCAGCTAGGTAGCCTCAAAACTAGAATGATCGTTGAGACGTAACCACAAGCCATTATTGGATGTGTGAACATACGAAAAGGGAATGTCTCAATTGCCACAGTAGTGCCTGACGTGCAGAATGGTGTCGTCCCTTGGCTTTCACTTCATAGTCATACACAATAGAGGCTGATAACCTGACATGTGAACGGGCCATTCTGAAATAGTTCATCAGTGTGAGTGCTAGAGATGCGATAATGGGTGACTTCCCGAGGTAGCATTTAGAATCCTAGATTTTGGTCCACCCGTCGCAATCTAGAAATGCTTTTGAAACTGCCGCAGACCAATTGTAGATATCTAGTTGTAGATTCTAATGTATAGTGTTGATGTATCAGAAGGTATGTAAGCGACGATTACAATATACTCACGAAGTCTGAGAGGTGTTTAGAACATAATTTGAACACCATTGGAATCCAGGAGGGGGATAGTTACCCCGGGCCCCTTCGAAGTTCTTTAGAAGTTCGTTTTTTTTGACATGCAGACTTGCAAAACACTGAGGTTTGATGATGGCACGAGGACTCTACTATAACATATAAGTTGAGATTTAGAACAACGCTCTAAACGCTGCGGGAAGTCAATCAAACTATTGCATAGGTGCCGAGAGCGGCCGGGAGTCTGCAGCGTGACTCAATTAGATCACCTGACTTGTGATTGACCACCTGGTTCCTTTGTCTAGCCTACCAAAGGAGAGCAGAAAAATGTCGCAATTGATGTCCCAGCCAAGTCAACCAGATAAGGCCAAACCTGTACGACATCCATCCCCTGGAGCGTGCTCCTAGCTGAGCAGAGCTTCAGCTTTTAACAGCATCTGTACACGATGTTCGATACTTCGCCTCCCTTCTACGCGGAATTGGTTTTTCGAACGTGAGCGCACTGCTTTGAATTGTCATTAATTAGGGCAAACTATAGTTCAAGCGAGCATCTATGAGGTTTACAGCCGGCAGTGGGATAACTGTCACTGTCGAGGAAGCGCGAACACTGCTAGGTACGTATTCGTTTGGTCCCACAAACATCTGTATAATGGTCCACAGCGACGTCATACGTCTATGCGGACCATTTTGACGAGTGGGCATTCGACGTCGATAATCTACAGGCCGCTCCCTCTCAGTTGTCTGCACCTGATTTTGATCGACATGCCACATCATTTGAAATCCCTTTGAACACCTTACTTGAATGCCTGAACATTTTTGGAACCGCGAACATGTCTTCCTCAAGCAGTACAGGCTCGAAGCACAAGCAGTGGCGGCGAGCCGATGATGCCTCAGATGACGAGAGGGGCGACGATACACGGCGTCCTAATGCCAATCGTATCGATCAGCACTTCGGCGGTAACGAGAAGCGGACAAGCATGCGTCTCACATATGCCGGACCCGGACACCCCTTGACGCTTGTTCTGTAAGCTTCAGACCTCTTGTCATGATCGATTGTACAGATATGTTGCAGTGCGGAAGACTCATCAGGGCCCACGACGACATGCGAGATATCGACTTTCGATTCTGAGCCGAACTTGGAGCTCCCATTTGATGCTGAGCAGACGTTGAGTACTTCCTCGAATACTCCTTCATTATGCCTTATACCTTCTTTAGTGCCCTCAAGATCATTTTCAAGGTCTGTTTAACGGACATCGAGCTTATGACGCAGCTCACACGGTGACTAGTCATCATTCTGGCTCCGCGATGCCCTTTCAGAACTTGATCCATCTTGTGAAAAAATAACGTTGATTGCCAATCCTGTAGCATATGTACAGAGCGCGCACAGAGGCATTCCCGCCAAACCCCTCTTTCGAATACAGGGAACGGGAGCATTCGGCAGCACCGAGGTGAGTTTCTAACTTTGCACAGGGTCCAGGTTCCAATCTACTGCAGATGGACTATCCAAACGACAGAGAGGTCCTAGAAACATTCGAATGTTCGCGTAGTGTCAGTTTCAGGTACTGTTATTCGTTGTGCTGTATGAACCTAGAAAACACTGAGATGCTCGATATTAGCTATCGATTTGCACATATATCACGCACACTGCGAGCTTTGCAGAACTCAACAAAGACCTCTCTTCGCCTCGAGCAGGAGGGTTTGTTGAGTTTGCAGTTCTTAGTGCCCGTGCCAAGACCACGAGGTGGGATGTCAGATTCTTTCATCGAGTTTCGAGTGAGATGGTTTTCATTTATTCCGAAGGCTGAGGCTGATCAGACCAGTGTCTTGCTTTGGACGACGACGTCGCTCAGTAAAACGCGTGCCCGGCTGGTGTCCCTCGAGGTTAGCGAGCTATCGGATTTTCCCAACGCAAAAGGAGGTAGGGCGTTATGATCTGTACCTCGGCTGGACCAGTGCTTCAAGAATCTTACATAGACAGCGTGTTACCTGTGGCAAATTTCGCGTGTACTCATTGGTGTTTCGAAAGAAGTATCAATAGCCCAGAAATCTAAGTAACGTCTACGCAACAAGTACGACAATATAACAATTAGAGTAACCCATCGAAGTACTTGGCAGAGCTGTCTTGTACCTTCATTGATGAGATGGGTATTGGCGCAGCCTTCGGTGAAGAGGGTGAAGGAGGAAGGTAGTCGGCGATAATGTCATCAAAGGTTGCTGGTGTTGTAGGTGCTAGCCAGGGTGTCAAATGCGTTACAACATGATTTACAGAAGGATGGCTCACTAGGTGCAAGCTTCATTTTGGCGGCCAGGCCAGAGACGATAAGTTGGCGGATGGCAGCACCGTCCAATGGCTGAGCAAGATATAAACAATTGTGAGATCAAGCTTGCGCAATGCGGCATACCTTAACTTCTTCAACCCTTTTCGGCTCTGAAACCTCTTTCTTCGCTTCCTTGAATGTTCCTGTTGGACTCGACGCTTTCCCCAGGTATGCAAGTACATCGCCCTTCGTAAGCATGCCGCGAACACCTGTGCCCGGGATAGCTTCTGCATCAGCAACGTTGCCCTCAATCAAGAGGCGTATCACTGATGGCAGTAAGTGCTTCGAGTGCTTTGGGTGGTGCGACACTTTGGAAGCCGTAGGTTGAGGTGCCGGTGCCGGAGGTGGGGGTGCAGCTGCCTGAGTCTCGGGTTGGGGAGAAGGTGCTGGCTTGGACTCCTCCTTGGGTGCCTCGAGGTTCGAGATATCATCTCCTTCCTCAGCAAGGAGTGCAATAACTTTACCAACTTGGACGTTCTTGCTACCGTCTTGGGCCTGTATGACAGTTAGTACTTGTTGTTATTGCTGTGGAGTGATGAGACAAACGATAATTTTACCCAAGATACCATCTTCCTGTGCCTCAACATCAATGGTTGCCTTGTCTGTTTCCTGTTGAGTATATGAGGTTCGTGTGCGAACGGAAACACGTGAAGTTCATACAATTTCCAGTAGGACGTCTCCCGCGGAGAAAGACTCGCCTTCCCTCTTCTTCCATGAGGAAATGCCGCCTTCTGTCATAGTCGGTGACATGGCTGGCATCTCCAGGTTGGTGATAGCATACCGGACCTTCGTCTGGTGCAGAGCTGAGAAGAACAGTTACTTATGGGTTTCGGCAGAAGTGAAACAGACAAACCTCTACGCTGAGCTCGCGACAAAGAACGAGCAAGGCTCAATGCTTGACGAGCAGGCCGCATCGTGAGGATGGTCGACAAACGTACGACGGTGAGCAAACTGTGAGCCGATTTATTAATCCCAAATGATGACACGGTATTCAATTCGTGGGAGTTCTTGACCCTCCTCTCGTTGACTTTCGTTCTCGCTTCCCCAGATCATCATATTGACGCCAGAGGATTCACTGAAGAAATCACACTCTGAGACACATCCTGAACTTATCCCAGCAGACATCACTTAGGACTTTCATATTTGAACCGATTTCTGCCCGCAATTTACGTAACTGTGTTTGGAAGTTAGAGTGGTAGACAGTCCTCTCTCTGTGGTATGCCATCGCTGGCAATTGAAGCTCTTGTGGAGGAACGTGTGGCACAGCTCGAGTGAGTGCACTATACCCGATACCAACACATGATATTCACGCTAGTATATGTGTAGAGTAATATCTCAACGCAGAAATGAACTCCTTCGCGAAATGTATCGTATGATGAGGAGACGAAAAAACGCAGGCTCCATATCCATGTTCGACGATGAGGACGAAGTTGGACTTCAGGATTGGTTAGATAAATACGATCTCGACGAAAAGTTCGTGGCATTTATTCACCAATTTCCTTCGTTAACGTGCTCATCACCATCAGTCCCGAATCGGGCATGGTGTCAAATATTCTACCGAGCGAACTGTGTGCCGCTTCATCATCTCCAACTGCCGATGAATTCAAACCAATAGACCTGCCAGATGTCATCGATGTAGATTCCCCCATGTCAGAGCCTCCCGCTTCACCTCGCTCTGATTCATCTCTATTACTTCAAGTTCCAGAATCCGATGACCCCTTGGCTACATCGATACCAGATGGGTCACCTCCCCGCGCCACTCCTTTGTCATGCAAACGCCCGATACCAGACGATGAGCCAGATGAACTGAATCTCGTAGCCTTTTCGCGGTCGCCATCTCAGCGATCGGTCAGTCGTCGCAGTCAATCCCTGACCCGCCGTACGTCTCGCTCTAAGTCTCGTACATTCTCGCCACATTCCCCTCAACCTACAAATGCCGCCCTCGACGAGGTAAGTGAAATACAGGAAGTACTCGTCGACTTGGAGGAAAGAATGGACGTATCCACGGAGGAAGCTAGAGAACCCTCGCCTGATCTCGTCCTTCCATCGTCTTCGCCTGTCCCGAAAATGACTCCTCGCACTATAGTCTATACTACTGTGGACGTCGCATCTATTCAGCCTTCCCTCCTCATTCCCACCCCCACATCACCAGTGACTGATCCAGCATTCAGCTTTGATGAAGCCGAGAGCGAGCCGCCTGAGGAGACGCCCTCTGCTATCTCAACACCTGTAGATGCGCCGCGATTCCAAAATCAACAACATCATCATCACCATTTTAACCCCGCCTACAGTCTACCTCCGATCAAATCATTGCCTCCTGAATATCTCCGCAAGGGTAAGTCTTACAAACAGAAAAAGCGAGACAAGGAACGCGACAAAGCAGACGGCAAAATCAAGGATGAATGGACACCCATGGGCCTGACCAAGTGGGGTGCAACCATACGTGCAAACCCTATCTGGAAGAAGGTTTCTCGTGCCACCAAGTGCCTGAGCACGCGTGACTGGGGTGTAGGTGACATTAATCTGTCCCAGATGAAGTACTTATAAGTATGTAGGTTGCCATTGCCGAGGTAAGGCTCACGCGCACCCTTGAACGCGTCGAAAGCCTCGAAAATGTCGCAAAGTGGAGTTATAGGCAGCCCAAAAGACAAAAGAATCTCGGAGGTGTGACCAAGACCCACTGGGACTATCTTATGGATGAAATGGCATGATCTCTGTTATTCTTGTGGTGCATCTGGCTCACGTTCTGGTCAGAAATGGATGCGCGTTGATTTTCGGGAGGAGCGACGCTGGAAATATGTTCTCGCGTTTAACCTGTCGACTGCTGTACTGGAGTGGCATGATGCGGAGAGTCGCGAGGAGAGGGTTAGGCTTGGCATATGTGTTTTATGGAAGCGACCCAGGTCTTCTCAAAATGCCTCTACGGAAGATGTAGACATGGACACACGGCCTACGGAGCACAATGGGTATACCCCTATGGCAGACGAGTCCGATGGTGATGAGGAGGAGGGAGAGGCGGAGCAAAGGGATATCGCAGACGCTCTAGAGTCGCGCAACGCTTTAGAAGAAGCACTGGATGGAACGGGATCTAACGAGTCCACGGACAGTAGTCAGCACCAGACTCCAGGCCCCGACCATGTTCAGCCCAAAGTTGAGGATGTTGATGATCCGTCAGCTCTGCAGGATTCAAGTGTGATGAATGTGGACATGCAGCAGGAAAATCAAGCCAAGATCGAAAGCGATGATCAGACTGGTCTCAAGGCGCATTCGACAGACCCCAATCTTGCCTCGCAGCAAAATACGCAGCATGATGCTGCTCCCGCAGAATCATCATCCAAAGCCTCCAAGGCGAGTCTGTATGCACCGCTCAGAGAGCAGATCGCATACTCGGATGAGCGAAAGCTTTTCCTGGATGGGGACGACCTTGTCCTTGCCAAAGCACTCTCTGATCTGACCACAGACGACTCTGGGATTGAGCCATCGCTGCCCATCCCTGATCTGTCGGACATCTTCCCCGACCTTCAACCGCTCGGCATGCCAGATGTTGTCTCTGGCTCGAACGAGGGCAAGAAGAAGGATAAGAAGTCGGGAGAGGACAATAGGCGTGTTGAGGATGCTGGGTTTACAAAGATGGCACCGTTGGGTCGCTTCATGCACTCCAAGCCGACGCTTCTTGGACCTTTGCAACCTGCTAGGCATTGGGTGAACGGGGAATGGATGTTTGCTGAAGAAGCAGCAGTGGCTGTGGATTTCGATAGCGCAATTGGGAAGACAGTAGATGATACTGTCTCAGGTAAGGTCGCCGTGAGAAAATGACAGTGGTGCTGAATATTATTTGTAGACCTTTTTGAGGGCAGTAGACCATCTGCAGTCAGCTCCCTTGGACTGCCATCGAAAGACGGCAAGAAGCGTTCGGAGCATCTTTGGAGCTCAGATGAAGATTCCCTTCTCAAAACCCATGTGGAGAGATATCCCAATAACTGGCTGCTAGTTGCGGATTCATTCAACTCCTCGCGCGTCACTATCTCCACCGATAAACGAACTCCTTGGGAATGCTTCGAGCGTTGGAGCAGTCGCTTCGGTAGCGGACACAGGGTCCATCCTGACGTTAACTCCCCTGTCAACACAGAGCGCACTCCGCCGCCAGCATCATCCTCAGCTCAAGGACAGATGACCACGAGAGGTGTCAAGCGATTAGCTAGTATGTCGGTTACACAGAACCAAAGTCCCGGAGCCGGCTTGACGTCTGACACCAAAAAACGGCGGAGACATACATTTATGTATGAGACGATGCGCAAAGCTGCGAAGAAGCGCGAAGCAGCACAAAAAGCGTCCAGTGAGCTATATTTGTTACTTGCAGTTCTCCAGCGCTTACTGGTTCGTATCAATTCATAAGTGAATCAGCGAAAGGCATCCAATGTTCATGATACACATGGGCAGTATCAGAAAATGCCTAAACTGACACCAGCTGAACTTAGTCGCATGAAGTATGAGAAAGAGTCGAGGGAGCAACAGGAACTACTTCTTGCGCGACGTCGCCACGAGGAACTTACTCGTCAGGCAATGATGCAACGCGACCCAAGGCTGCAAGCCGCCGCAGCCGCAGCTGGTGTATGTGTTGTCATCTTACTTATTTACAAACACTATTCTGACGGCGAGTCGCTAGCAACCCCAGGCGGCGGCGGCAGCATCGGCAGTAGCAGCAGCAGCCCAGCAACAGCAACCAAATGGGACACCGAGACCAGCAGCCCAGCCCGCACAAGCTGTCCCGCAAATACGGAATCAACCCGTGGCGCAGGTCAATATTTCTCAGCAGCAGAGAATGCCAACACCAATGGCATCAGCGGCCGCTGCAGGGGCTCGTATGTCCCCTCAACACTTGTTGCAAGTTCAAGCCGCCCAAGCTCAAGCTCGTGCTATCGCTGCAGCCGCACAGGCCCAAGCTCAAGCCCAAGCCCAAGCGCCCGTACAAGCTAGCCCTACTCCTACCATTAACGGACTTCCTACTGGTGCCCATCTGTCACCCCCATATCAGTCGCGCGCTGCAACATCATCGCCTGGCGTAGCACCGCAAGCAACTCCTCCGCGTAACATAGGCACGCCATCCAACGCTGCTTCTCCCCGACCACCCTCCGCGCAACCGCAACTACCCATGCAGCCTCCTCAGATGCCCGGAAACACCGTTTCACGGCAGGCTCATTATTACCCAGTGGTACCCACTCTTGCCAATAGTCAATTTACACAGGATCAAATAGACCAGGCCGTTCGGTTAATGCAGGTGAGCAAACTTTGTCCAATGATTGGACGAGCCTTTGATGATGGTGCGTTTTTTCACAGCAGAGGACCATGGCTCAGGCACAGCAGAATAGCCAATATCCCTCGCAGGCCTGATATCGTTCAGCTGTCTGGGATTGGCCATCTATCTCTGTACCGTAGTTCATGAGCACATACAGGACCATGCATGCCACCTGCATTCATTTCCCCGCCTTTTGACCGCTGGCTGTGGATTAAGAATAGTTTTGGGCGGTTGAAACAACATTTTTTCAAACCGAACAACTAATAAATACTCCAACCTGTACTCTTTGTTCGGCTTTTCGGATCGAATTTTCTTGTAAACCTCAACTTTCTTGATCATGGGACAGTGCCTTGTGCAGCAAGAAACCAAGGTAGACGAAATGTTACGTAATAACGATGGAAAGCGTGAGAGAGAAGACGATCTACCGCCATGTTCTCTCCATTTTTTCTGCGAAAGTAGTAAGTACATTCAATCAACAGCTGGGAAGAGTGATATTAACTCGCTCAATCGTGATGTCTCGAAACATTTGTTGTATCGATGACACGGGTGCTGGCGTCGTACTGCACGATTGCTCCAAGACTACCACATTTCCGAGAATGGGCCTTGAAGCTATCGTGACGCCCAAAAGGTTTTAAACATCCTGTGCCCGTGCAAATCCACACTACACCAAAGTGAGCGCTCAAAATATGCCGTGGGATGCCATTCGCTAGCATCTGGCTGTCACAGCCTGACCACGGGCAAGTGGTTTTCTTATTTTCTCCGCCACCTCGGGCGTCCCCGTGCCACCGTTGTCCATGGTGCATGATAGAGCGTTTGTCCGCTTTAACCCAGAGACCACAGGGAGGCCCTTCACGACTGCATGCATGGACGTTTATGTAGCCACCGTTTCCATCCATGAGGTATTCTTCGTCAATCAAAAGACCATCGACCATGTAAGCCCGAGGGCCACCAGGCTGCTGGATGTGATGTCTGTGGGTCGATTGAATTTCGTACCCCGAATTATCGAAGACTTGGTAATCTGCAGAGGGGATTTGAGGTAAGGCCACGCCGCCACCGAGGAAAGGTGGCTGGGCGTTGAAAGGAGGGGTGGCAGCAGTACTGGATGACGCTGAAGGAATAGAAATAGGCTGCATGCTCCAGGGCCGCTCTGGAGACAACGAAGGATAATGAACTTGAAGAACACCATGACCCTTCACGTCATCCAGTGCCGACTCGAAGCCATACGAACCTGGATGCTCCACTTGATGCCCTTGAGCCAATGGAGTTACGTATCTCACAGGATGAGAAATTCGGCGATCTGCGGGGTGAAATTCAGGTGTGGTAGCACCAACGCCAAATGAGTCTGGCTGGTGTCTCAAAGGGGCAACAACATTGCTACCAGATGACACTGAAGAAGAAAAAACGGGTTGTACAGTGGAAGGCAGCCCTGGAGGCAACAAAGGATGATGAACTCGAAGGGCGGCATGACTGCTCAGGTCACGGGGCACCGACTCGAAGCCAGAAGAGCCTGTACCGAGAATTGTGGTGGTATGCTCCCAGGGCATACCGCTCGGCCCATGATAAGGTGGGTACATATGCTCGTGAAATGGTGATGTTCTTATTGCGCCCCGCGGACTGCAAAATCAATCAGAGAAAGTATGAGCCATAGGGCAAACAGTATGCAAAACAATTACCTCGAGTTAATGATAGCATCAGGGAAATGATTTTGAATAGGCAGTATATCACTAGCATTGTCGTCACACAGACTAATCGTGCATGTGTCGGGACACACACCTTATACCACCACGGTAATGCACACCCGTAGCACCGTTGTCAATATAGACTTCTACAAATGATGGCAACAACGCATTCCTGTGAAAAACTGGGAGGTGAGGACACAGTCTCGCTTGACACTCAAAGGACACTTGCATTAGATTGAGTGGTCCGCCAAGTGCCGCCGCCAGCAGCTCATAATTATCAAGAGGAATGTACTCTTGTGATAGTCGAAAGTTCTCTGCAAAATGTCAGGTCTGATGAATCCAATCAGAAATGCTGGCATACTGGATCTCTGACGATAGATCCTCCCGCATAGCAGAATGAGCAATCGGAATGGGACCTGGGATGACATTTCTGTTCGGCATTGGATGTGTGACCAGGGGTGTTAGATAGCAGTCGGTGTTTGATAGTGTCCTAACGATTATATTAAGTATTGAAAGGCTTGTAGTTCTAGAAAACGAGCAGCCAGTGAGGCGGTGTATGGCAAGTCCATGGTACAGCATGTTGGCCGCTCCATACCACAGCAAGGCTGCTGGCCCATAGTACAGCAACATTGGCCGGTTCTATGATATAGAAAGGGAAATGGGCCGCGTTATAATTACCAGAAGGCCAACAGCCAGAAAGCGGTTTCGTAAGTCTCGGAACGCGATGGTCTGGAGGAGTGGCCCAAGCAGGCAGTCAAATCTTGATATGACATCTTGCCAATCGAATGACGTATTTTCCCGGTGGCACCCACGTAATACGTAGACACTTTTCGATTGCCATTTGAAAAGCTAGATATCCAAACTGGACTGGCATTGGGTCCCATTGCAGTGTCGTTGGATCCCGCTTGAAACGACAAGTTATACCCCAAACTGTTTTATTGCATCGTGTCCAATAGTATCTTGCCTTGAACTCATCAAAGCTGATCCAGTGGTGGAGAGGAGTGATTCCGGTTGGTCCCATGGCTAGACCTTTGTCAGCTTTCACCCAAAGACCGACAGTGAGTTTGTGCACAGACGTTTGCCGATCATTATGCAGTCATTGGCACTCCCCTGACCGTCTGGATTATCCCCATTGATTAAACAGCCGTCGACGTCGAAAACCTGACGGGAGCCTGACTGCTGAGCATCATGCTCACGAGATGACACGGCTTGGACAGTGTAGTCAGTAAAGGGAGTCGGCTAATGTGCACTGCGAGGAGGTTTCACTGGTGCGTATCTATGTCAACTTTGAATGGAACGACGAGTGAACAAACGAATGACTCACTCGAACGTAATGTTTAGATCTGTTGCACCAATGACATGAGTGCTGGTGTCGTGCCTCAGCGTTGCCCTGAGACTGCCACACATTCAGGAATGAGCCTTGAAGCTATCATGATGCGTAAGAGCTTTGAGCATCCTGTGCTCCTGCAAATCCACATTGCACCGACGTGAGCGCTCAGTGTGCCCCTCGATGATTCATCTGGCTGGCACAACCTGACCAAGGGCTGGTTTTCCTATTACTACCCTGCTATGCGAACATCTTTCCACTATTGACCACAGATGACTGAAGGATTCTTTACGAATGCATGCATGGACGTTCATCTCGTCTGTGAGGTCTTCATCGATCTGAAGACTATATGAGCCCGGAAACGCCAGGCTGATGGATTCGATGTACCTGGACCGGATGAGTTCCGTATTCTAGACGATGAGAGATTTAGCGTTATGCAGAGGAACCTTTGGATAAGGTTGGCATTACCAACGAACTAAAGCTGGATGTTTTGGACGGTGAGGAAGTCTTCGAAAGTTTTTCTTGTGTACTCTGGAGGCAATGCAATGAAGAACAGCGTGCCCTTCACGGCAAATCAAAGCCATTCCTGGATCCTGAATCAATGTCTCTGAAATGGCCGGTCCCAAAAGTCCCGCAGGCTCATGTACACTTCTAAGCGGAGTATGACAGTCGCTGAGGGTACCTTATCGGCAACTTCGAGTACTCCTCGTTGTTATGTTCCTGTCTTGTCGACTCTTCAACATCATTTGGGAAGTCGCGACCATGAGCGTATTCATGCTGCGGACAGTATCTTGCAACCGTTCTTGATGGTGAATGTATCTCTCCGACATGACGTAGTGTTGATATGGGCTAGATCGTTTTTCATGTTACATGACGAGACTCACGGGCATCCCATGTTGTCTGCAGGATTCTGTTTGAAATCAAAGTGTATGTGGTTGATGTAGCCATTGTTCTATATTGCTCTTTTCGCGTGGAATGCGGCTGACGACTATGACGGCACTCCGCACCTGCCTCGTTTCAGCGAGCCATCTCAGTGGAAATAGTAGGCTCACATCGTGGACGTGAAGTAGGAAACAGAAGGTCCAAATAACATGCAATGAGTGATATTGCCGAAGCCTTTTTTTGCAGTGATGCTAAACATTGAACGAGTGAGGGAGCCATCAAGTTGACCATATCATTGAGCTGTACCACATCGATCGTGAGCTTTTATACAATATCCTCCGCGATGCTGTATATTGGCACTACCCAGAAGTATGATCGCTGTCCTGGGATTCGGTAACCCACAGGTACATCCTGTACTCAAGCTGTGTGACTCGGAATTCATAGCTATGCAGCATACTCACATCTTCCATATATTTTTTCCATCTACCCATATAGATATCAACATTCCTGCTGTCGATTGATTCCACTGTACGAACCATCCACTTGCAATATTTGTAGCCTATTTACATCATAATGCGACCATAGCGGGCTCTGACACGAGCGACCCTACCCATTATACGGTCATTGATGATCGTGGGCAAGTCAAAATCAATAGCAATAGTCTGCAGCTGCAGAGTCGAGCATCGAGCATCATATTTGGAGTGACCCTTTGAAACATAGCCCCACTTCCGAGTCTTGTCGGCAACGTGAACGTTTGAACCTTGTCCGACGCTGTGTACTTTGCGCAACAAGATAGACGAGGTAGTGATAGTGCCTCCTTGCAATGTACATGCACAGGCTGTGTGGATTTAAAATTGAATAGTACCTATGATACCATGCAATGTGTCTCTTTGTGTCCTCACCCTCGACAACGCTATGTATAGAGGGATTCGTCAAAACACGTCGCCACCCATTGGGCCTCAGCCCGCGAAACGGCTCCTGGGCCGCTGTCCTAGTATTTTTCATTTTTCACACTCTAGTGTACCTATTCTTGTCCAACTCGGAATCAGCGAGCAACGTGATTGGAGAAGTGGAAAAGGTCGTATTGATTTCTTGGTGATTCTCATATTTGTATTCGTATTTGATATCGATGAGCTATAGCATTGATTAAAGAAAGTATCGGGTTCCGACCCTGCCGCATTTCACAATGCAGACTCTTAAGTTTGAACCTACCACTCCCAGAGTGCGCACTCTAAGAGGCCATCTAAGATCCTGAGAGCCAGTATACATGCATAAATCGGAAAAATCAGCCAATGCGTACATAGTAACACATGTGCTACGGTACGAGACCTAGACATACAATTGCTCCAACGGTGCTCATGGCAGGGCCACCCTGCGGTCCGTGCTATCCCTCTGTCATCCTCGGGCTTATATCAAAGCGGTGCGGATTAAAAAATCGGTCTTCTGTGACGATAGCGATGCCTGCCTGCCTCTGCAAGAGCTTGTACTGGCCACGTAGGCTAGCTATTAGTAGCGGTACCTGGAAAAACCCAGAGTGCGAATATCTGAATCAGTGAGCGCTGAGAGCAATACTGCGTGAACGGGTGGAAGGAGAATCACGACAACTTGGTTTGAATGGACCTTTTGGCTCAATCGGTCCCTTCTGATGCATGAATTAGCTCGCCATCAGCGAGATCAAGAAGAAATCATGCTCACCCATTCAGAATCATTACCGGCCTGTCTGAGACATGCCTTTCACATCGATGGTACGAATGCTAGGGTCATACGACACACTGTATCCATGACCAGTGCCACTTGACGTACACTTCGCAACATGAGATCTCCAACAGTGGTCTCGAGTGAACTTTTTCAAACACCCGTTGCACTGAAATGTTTCGCGGAAGTGTTTGCACAGAGTATGTCGTGGCATAGCACCCTTCTGCATCTCGGTGTTGCACTCGGCCCATGTACACAAGACAATGTTGGTGTCACCCCCACGAGCAACCCCGTGCCATTTCTGCGCATGGCGCTTGATTGAACCCTTGTCAGCTTTCACCCAAAGGCCGCACGGTGAGTCATTGCGAAGACATTCGCCGACGATTATGATGTCGTTGTTCGTTCCTTGGTCTGGAACGTCATCCTTATCTATAAAGCAGCCATCGATGTGGTAAACTTGAGGAGAAGCTGACCGCTGAGTATCATGCCTGCAAAATGGCACGACTCGGACAGTGTGCTCCACGAAGGGAGTCGGCTGATGTGCACTAGGATGAAGTGTCTGTGTCCTGGATGCTGGAATTGACGATGATGACTGCGGCGGAGGGTGAGAGGGTGCTATACCATAACGGGAATGGTCTGAACGACGGTAAACTTGATCATGGGGGGCCGTGGACTTGTATGATTCTGCAGTATGCAATTCTGAGACGTGTCTAACGTCGCCTTCGTATCTCGGAGCAATGACTTTGCTGCCGTATGATGCAGTGCCGCTGAACGGTCCTAATACTGTGGCCGGCCGCCATGGTACAGGATTTGCAGACAAATAATTTCTATCCGGAATTCCACCTGGAACATGAGCAGGCGGACCGACATCCGATATGTAGCAGTTATTTGCAAAGCTCCTTGTGCTAGATAAGGAAAAAATGAGCCTGAGTGAGATACCGTGTGTGAACTTGAATACTTTGCGTCAACGTCGGAAGACGGAATTGCGTGATGTAGCCGAGGGGAATGGATGGCATTGCCTTCGTAGCTCTGAGCAGGGAAATTGATTGTGTGCGATGGTACAACCCTTGCCGAAGACTGCGTTGATGTGTCCTGCAGTGAATGCATAGATACTTCAAGAGAATCTCTATTTGAAATACCATATGGAACATGAGCAGCTGAACCGACTTCTGCAGAGCGGTATGCACTAGATGAATGGGATGGGAGGAAGAATAAGCTCAGCGTGAAGTGCCGTGGACGGACTCGAATACCTTGAACCACCGATGGCACCAGAATGCATAAAAACATCTCTTAAGATCACCATCAGATGGAGCGGTCGCAATTTACCGAACCACACACCTAGGCTGTGACTGTGCATAATGATGCAGGGGAAACCCGGAAGGGACGTTTTCGCGAGAACGCGATGTCGTGTCCCTTCTAAAACCAATAAGAAGGGAATGATCATTTAGTGGTGAAGATTCACCTCAACTGGTCAGACAGCAAAGGCGAAATGTTCTGATGCTGAGGATACCCCGCTGGAAGTGTGCTATGACGAGACTCGTAAGTCGCTAGTGCTCCAGCTAACTATGCCTCACTCACAGACTGCCAAGCTGGGCTGCTGGAACGTGCATTGTAGGATGTGGCTTTCCAAAGGAAATGTTGTCGTCTGATCGACCCATACTGATAAATTCCAAGTTTGTTGGAAAGGTGCGAACGAATGAGCGTTATATAAGAAATCAGATGTGGTCAAGGCCATGAGAAAGGGGGCTTTTCGAAAGAGAAACCGCCACTAACCAGTGCCAAATATTTCTAAGCTGGCCTTCTTCCTGTGCATCCCAATGGCCAGCAAACTTTAGATCTCAGAAGGTACTTATTAGAAATCGGATCACAAAACGTGCCATCGACCCACGCCATCCAAACCTCCTAACGGGCCACCTTTGGGAGCATAGGGAGCACAAAGTCGATCGATAAATATGGAGCAAGTGCAGTCAAAAACCCAGTCAATTTGAATGCCCACAGATAATGAAATTTCTGCTTAGTAAAACTTCCAAGCGAGCAATGTATTGTGGGATCCAATTTGACAGCGTGTAGAACACGAGCATTAGCGGCGATCAAGACTTGGTGCCAATTTTGCAGGCTGCACTTCATCAGGCAATAACGCAAGCAGCACCGACAACCCTGCATCCAGAAACCGCCGCATCAACACCCGATTCAAAAAGAGCACGCACACCTCAAGACCCAGTGATGTAAATATTTCTGGAGGTCAGAACCAATACGAAACGAATCGACCAACTCGTATAACGCAAGCAGCGCCGACAACCCTACATCCAGAAACCGCAGCATCAACACCCGATTCAAAAAAGAGCACGCACACCCTCAAGACCCAGTGATGTAAATATTTCTGGAGTCAGAACCAATACGAAACGAATCGACCAACTCGTATAACGCAAGCAGCGCCGACAACCCTACATCCAGAACCGCAGCATCAACACCCGATTCAAAAAGAGCACGCACACCTCAAGACCCAGTGATGTAATATTTCTGGAGTCAGAACCAATACGAAACGAATCGACCAACTCGTATAACGCAAGCAGCGCCGACACCCCTACATCCAGAAACCGCAGCATCAAACACCGGATTCAACAGAGAGCACGCACGCATCAACACCCGGCGATGAAAGATTCGCGAGATGCATGAAAGCACAACGCAATGGTCATTTCGTCCCAATCCTATGGTATTACTTGCCATTGATTTGAAACAAAGGCAACAGGTGAAGTCAGAGCAATGTGAAAGGGTATTGACCAACTTGTGAACTATACGATATCATCATTATCTTGGAGACCGCGCACCAAAGAGAAGTTCACTAAAAAGATCAGTCAGTGAGCCACCGTGACGTAGGAGCTAAATTGCAATTGACGAGCAGCAGGACAGCAAAATGGCAGCATGATAGTTGACTAGAGAAAGTCGCAACGTCGGGGCGAACTTAAATACATTCATTCAGGAAAGACAATGACACATTACATGACCGCGGAGCTGTTGACGGTATTTTGACACATATCCGACTGGAGACTGCGGGAGAAGAATAAAAACCGGGATTATATAATATCGACGGATTCAACCAAGTTGAACCTTCTCAGACAAGGTTTGTATAACGTCTGCCAGAGGGTTGCTGTGAAGTCTGATGGCGTGACAGCCTGTGGTACAGCCTACTTGTTAAAATCAGCATTTCTTCACAGAATAGTTCCCTCAGTGGCCATTTTACTGCAACTATGAGTAATATTCTCAAGGACGCCCTCCCACCTGGTAGTACTACGATATAAATCAGTATCCAGTATTTCATGATGTAAGGCTGATCACGGTGGACGAGGCACCCACAGGGACTCCGTGAGTCCATGAACTGATGGACAGTGTAATTAGAAACTAATGGAGAAGTTCATACGCATTGAATGGTTGTGGAACCCTCACATGCCACGCCCTCATCTCACCTGAAGAGCTGAACTGGCTGGCAGTGGCGTATCATGCATGACAGCTCGCGGCAAAATCCCTTGATATTTATGGCTATCACGGTCAAAACCTGTTGTCTGAAAGCTGAATAAGTTCAAGTGGCGGTTGCTGCTACTCTGGCCAGAAAAGAACTGTATACATCGACTCGGAGGATAGTCGTCGCAAACGTTTGCTTCAAGTGCTCCCATGGAAGTGCTATATCATAAAATTATTCGCGCCTAACATCTGAACATCGATGATAGCAGACTTAGCTCTAGCGAGATTGGAGTTACAGTTTTTGATGCTTTGCAAGCATATTTCAAGGTAAGTGAACCGCCTGTGCACGCTGGCGAGCGGGTAGGTTGAAAACGTGAATGTTGAGTAAAGCATGAACTCGAGTCCTGTTGTTTGTCATTCACTGGCGTGTTAGCTGTATGTGACATTAAAGCTAGTGAAAGGCGTCGACTGGCGCTCGCGCATTTTCAATGGGCCCGTCACAATAGCTCATGCCAATGTCCGACAGCCCACGAAAGCGTTATTCGAAATAGTAACACAAGATCGCATGACCCGTTGAAACGACGTGGCCTTTGTCGCAACAAACGATTGATAAACGATGTCGATGCCCAATAGTTAAGACGTTAATGTACTGTCAACGCTCATTTAAACGTTTAAGCCACATCGTCAGGAGGGATCACCGGGTAAAATTCAAGTATATTCAATCGGAGCTTTAAAATAGGATCCGGATTTGTGTGTTGGCAGCGAGGACGAGTTGCCACCGGGCTGGTGTGTTCACTGTTGGACTCGGCCTACGCGCTTTCTATACTTTCTTACCTCTATTCACCAAAACGGCGTCCGCTGGTGGGATCGTCTCGCGACGTCCGGAGACTGCTGCCAGGTCTTCGGCGATGGATAATCCTCCAAACGCCAATATACATACAATTGTAAAGGCTCAAATCGTCTTCCTTCTTTCAACCCTTACAGAAGACAATTTTGATCGCAATCAGCTTGAAATCCGTTCGGTGAGGATTATCATCATTAGATTGGCTGTTCTTGTATCACTGAATTGTTCTTATTTTCATGAAAACTCCTTTTTAGCTTTCTGAGCAGCACGGGCTTGACACATACCTCCATTTTATTCGTCGTTTGATTGTTCATTCCCAAGGCAGACTAGCATCTTCAGCGCCTCCATCGGCTTTTGATACTTCCACTGCATTGACTTTTCGACTCCTCGTTCAAGAAACTCAACGACTCGCTCGTGACCCTTTTCTCGCTGACCGTTTTCGTGAGGGTATAGACAAGGGCGAAGGGGACGCATTCAGGCACTTTGATCTCCTCCGATTCGTTGATCGGGTAGCTTTACGTCCTTTGGAGAGACTTGTCCTGACCTCCGCTATCGTCTCTTCGCCCACGAGGAAGGAACTTGCCGCCCAAGCAATGTCCCTTATACGACACGACTTTGAAATAGCAGTACTTGCACTCTGCCAGCACCCCTCATTCGACCACGCCGATCTTTCACCTCAGCAAGTTGCGAAACTCATGTCAAATTACTTTCTGAGTCCGCCTCCGAGACCCCAATCCTGGATCCCACGCAGCGTCAAGCGCTCATTGCTGCTGCGCAGGCAAAGTATGGGCCTGAAATTGTTGCTCCTATCCTGCAGCGCATTTTTCCAACGTTAAGGTCAGGGCAATGTGTTTACCACTTTCGTCAACTATTAACCCGAACCCTTTTGCACAGCTTGCCTCCTGGGACTTCCCTGGTTCAGACACTGATTCAGTTGGGTCCTGATATTACCAGCGATCCAGATACTGTCTGCGCTCTGCTTCAACGATTTGGGATTTCAGAAGCTAATCCTCCTCGAGACGCTCAATTGGTGGAGATTATGTCCAATTTGGCTCGATTGGCCGCGGAGGGTACAACTTTATGTGATGTCGGAGCTTTGGTCAGGGCGTTAAGCAGCTTTGTAAGGGTCACTTTGATTGAGATTTGCATTTACTGATGTGCGTGATTAGCACACTACCTTGAATTGGGCGAATGTCATTAAGGCATTTGATCTACCTGACCGTCATGGGGTGGATACTGCTACCTTAAAGCTTCTGATCGCCATTCTGCTCAACTGCCCACGTGACGCTGATCCTCATGCTGTGATTGGTTTCTGGGGGACATGGTCCAACTCATTATATCAACTAAAACTTCTTGATGCGTTGCTCTCACTACCTGCGGATACTTTCAATTTTGTATCTTTGCCAGGCAGGAGGATCGTTACAGTGGATGACGTCGCAGTTGCGAGCCCCACAATCAAGTCCCTTGCAGCTAATGTACAGAGTCACACTTGGAATTCGTTGGATGTCTTCGAGGTTCTCGTACGACTCGCGGACTCGGACAGCGCCGAAATTCGCTCGTGTGTTAGGGATATGCTCGACAAGGCACTAAAGATAAGCGCCGAACTGGTACAAATGGGTCTATTGCAAGTGCCAGTAAGTTATTCTTCTGTCTTCACATCCTTTCTCTTAATAGCGTCAAGGATGCGAACTGGAACGAAATCCGCGTGGAATACTCTCGGAAACTTCTAGCCATGTTCCTTGCCGGACATCCTAACCACCAGCTGGTCTTCATGCGTCTGTGGCAGATCGAACCGACCTATCTGACTGATGCATTCCGCGACTTCTATGAGGAAAATCCTCTCAATATCTCGAGGATCCTGGACGTAGCTCAGGACCTCAAGGTAAGCCAAAGTGAGCCTCAAGGCGCTCATGATGACTATAAATGGGATCAGATTCTGGAGAGCTTGCTCGATGTTCGGCCCTTTACATTTGCCCTGGATGTCGCTTCGCTGGCATCGCGCCGAGAGTACTTAAACCTCGACAAGTGGTTGGCCGATAACGTTAACCAACATGGAGCAGAGTTTCTACGCGCTATGGTTGCATTTTTGGAAGTCAAAATGGAGAGCGAGAAGGTGGCAAGAATGTCGGACCCCGCCGTCGACAGTCGTACGCTGTCCCTAAATCCCAACACTATCGCCATATTCCTACGCATTCTTCGTAACAAGTGAGTATACATCCCTTTTTTGCCTTTTTTCGTTTCTCTTACTTGTTTGTTTGTAGTTCTGCCAAAATGCCCCGGGACGACATTGATTACTGTCTTGAAGTTCGCAACTCCTGTTTGCAGGTTCACCCTCGTCTCATGAGCCTCATCCCCGGTAGCGATATCGATCCTGGATTGACTGTCGTCAATTACTCATCGGAGATTGAGAGTGAGGTCGACGCTATCTATAAGCACATGTACGACGAACAGACCTCTATCGACGAAGTCATCTCTCTTCTCCAACGCAGCAAAGTCTCGTCC